CCTGAAGCCGGACTTGCAAACGTGTATACATATGCATAAATAATTTCAGATTAAAATAAGCTCGACCACGCCCTCTTTCCCCGTATTGTTTTCTTTAACAGTCCGAAATACCTGCAAGAGAAAAAAGAAGGCTGAAGCCCCCCCCCCCCCCCCCCCCCGCTACCCTCTTCCGACGCCACTTGTATGGTAGAACGCTCCTCGACCTCGAGTTGTGTCGGCTTTTGTGCTTTTTGCGAGGCGATTCCTCCGTCCCAGAAAATAAACCTCCAGGACAATTACAAACTTCACTGGATCGGATTACTACCAGCGTGCAAGGGGTGGCGAGCTAGTTTGCCAGGTCGCTTCAAGGTTTTCCTTCTCGCCCCTGGCCGTTTCGAACTGGATGAGTCTCGTAAAACAGTGTGTTCGTGCAATCACTACTGCGTGATGCACGTTAAAGACCTCCCCCGGGGCTGGCGGTCACAATTCTGCACTGGCAAATATTCTAGCACGTCCGGGACACTCGTCGTGTCATTTAATTGCCTGACCAACTTCGCAGAATCTAGATATCACACCCTAACTTTTCTAAACTTGATTTTGTGAAAACAAGTGAGTCGTGAAAACGTTATTTGAAACTGAAACTGTGGAAAAACTTGAAAATCGGACTTCGAACTCTGAAAACTTGGATTAGAAAGAAATTCAAAATCTTCGAGGTTTTTTTTTTCTTTCTTTTTTTTTCTTTCTTTTTTTTTAATTTAGCGTTAAAAGAGAATCGAAACCTTCGAACTTTTCGAACTTTATGCAAAAAGAAATTCGAAATCTTCGAATTTTTCGAACTTCATGTCTATAAAAATTCGAAGCGTTCGAAGTTTTCGAATCTTTTTTACAAAGAATTTCGAAATCTTCGAATTTATCGAACCTGAAGTAAAAATATATTCGAAATATTCAAATTCGAAATTTTAGAAACCGTGAAAGCTTCGAAATTTTCGAATTCGAAACTCCGCTGTGGTCAAAAGTTGCGAATTTTTCGAAATCGAACCTCGGTCAGTACGAAAATATCGAAATTTTTCGAAATCGAACCTCAGTTCGCTTTGCAAATATCGAAACCTTTCGAAATCGAACCTGGGGTGGTTCGCGACATCCCTAGAATCCGCTACAAATTCTTATGTTTTGGGTAAAAATACTGCAGGTCGCGAACGCAGCTGAATCGTATTTCACGGTGCAATATACACGCAGGACCAACTCGTGTGGAATTGAGATCGTGCGCGCAGATTGCAGACAAAAACGCGGGAATCCGCTACAAACTTTATGTCACGGGAACGGATACCACGAATCGCAGACGCAGCAGATTCGCATTTCACGGTGAAACATACATGCGGGAACAACTCGCGTGTTACGAGAGCCGATATCGCGCGCGCATATTGCGGACAACAGCGCGGACCCACTATGAACTCGCTTGTCAGGCGCGAGTTCATTTGCATGGTTGATGCGATTCCCGTCGGACCTTGCTTGACGTCCAAAGGGTATCGGGGGTAAGCGATGTTTCGGAATTTTTATGTTAGATATTTAGCCAAAAAAAAGGATGGGCGATCACTCAAAGGCGGGCGTTCTTTCGGAACTTTACAGTAGGGCAACTGAGGTAGGTGACGCTTGGACTGTGTACTCGTTGCACGGGAACAAGGCAGTGGATGATTTTCAGTGTTGCCGTCGCCTCGAGCGGCAAGTTTCGGTTTTGTTGACTGCGCCCCAAACAAAACTTTGAGGCGTCGATATCTTTAAAACTACGTACAATACCAAGAAAAAAATTACACGTTGTGATTCAGGGACGCTGACTTCGCTAAAAAAGCAGTTGTAATCCCAAAATCTAAACTATGGACCGGAGTGGCCCTTGAATCATTTTTTTTTCTTTCTGTGGAAGGTGCTTATGCGAGATAATTAATAAGGGGCATAAATATGTTCAGTGTTGTTTTTGTATGCGTTTTATACTTTTTTTATGTATGATCTGATCTATTGTTATTATGGCAACTATAGAAATTTAGTTTTTCGTAATTAAACTCTATGTTAACGTTTTCCTAAGCAGTATGTGTATCAATGCTTTTTTTACCTTGTGTTGTTCTTGCTGCACTGTAACAGTAATCAATGTTTGTGTCTGATTGAAGATTGTATACTTCATCATATGTTGGTATTTTGTCTGGTTTTGTTATCACCACTCCTGTAATGACATGATTCCGGGTCAACAGTATTTGCGAATAAATAAAAATAAATAAATAAAATAATCATTAACCTTGAAACTGAAAAACCTAAGTGTCATAAAAAGCTTATAAATCATCCTAAAGCTTTCATTTATACCTTACTGGATTTCGCAGACCTTTCAGCTTACCGAGATATGTTCATTTTCTGATTTCAGTATTTCAATTTATCTTAATCCTTTCCATACCTTTGCCAAAGAGAACTTTCAATATTAACCAAACTGATTAGGCTATATCAAAACCAAGTACATATTTTTAGTCAGACTGCAAAGGCAGATAAGACACGTAAATTTCATTCCAATTGGATCACAAGTTATATATAAAAAAAAAAAAGCTTTAGAGGCGGTGTTGCTCCTTCATGGGCAATGTCTTTAGCAGGCGATTTATTCAGCACGTCGTCCGACGGACCGCGTTTACTACTTGTTTGTTTTGTTGTTTAGTAGTGAACTCTTCACGCAGTAACGGTTAGCTTTGGCATAGTATGTCGCTTGCCAATTCCCTTTTCACGATTTGCAACTGCGAACGCCGATTTTGGTATGAGCGAAAGCAACGAATCACACAGCCAATTTTAAGGAAAAAAACAACCACACCAAAATAAACAACGAAATCCATAGAGGCGAGAGTTGAGACAAAAAGTGGCACCAACGGTTGCACGGTTTCCCAAATACACTACCGTCAAGATACAACACCCAAGAGATGACAAACTTTGGTTTCCAATGACAAATGGATGGATGTTAATGGCTATGCCCTTTGCAGCGGGCAGTAGCTTGCGCCACCCAGCCCAAGTCTATAAAGACTTTGGTCCGGCCACTGTTGCCGATCGGCCAACAAATCTAAAATCCGCCACAGTCCCGGACAAGGTGCGAACTACAGGAAATCTCTCGAACACCCCGCTTCTTGCACGTGCTCGCTGCTTCTCACTCTGCCTTGGCTGCGCATGCACGCTCGAGGCTCACGAGAGACACCGAAGCGTTGTCCAAGGTAGGAAGCCGGAGACGGGGCAACTGAACCTCCTCCCTGTCATTCTCATCCTGCCGGTGACTGTGTTTGGTGACGCTTGGACTGTGTACTCGTTGCACGGGAACAAGGCAGTGGATGATTTTCAGTGTTGCCGTCGCCTCGAGCGGCAAGTTTCGGTTTTGTTGACTGCGCCCCAAACAAAACTTTGAGGCGTCGATATCTTTAAAACTACGTACAATACCAAGAAAAAAATTACACGTTGTGATTCAGGGACGCTGACTTCGCTAAAAAAGCAGTTGTAATCCCAAAATCTAAACTATGGACCGGAGTGGCCCTTGAATCATTTTTTTTTCTTTCTGTGGAAGGTGCTTATGCGAGATAATTAATAAGGGGCATAAATATGTTCAGTGTTGTTTTTGTATGCGTTTTATACTTTTTTTATGTATGATCTGATCTATTGTTATTATGGCAACTATAGAAATTTAGTTTTTCGTAATTAAACTCTATGTTAACGTTTTCCTAAGCAGTATGTGTATCAATGCTTTTTTTACCTTGTGTTGTTCTTGCTGCACTGTAACAGTAATCAATGTTTGTGTCTGATTGAAGATTGTATACTTCATCATATGTTGGTATTTTGTCTGGTTTTGTTATCACCACTCCTGTAATGACATGATTCCGGGTCAACAGTATTTGCGAATAAATAAAAATAAATAAATAAAATAATCATTAACCTTGAAACTGAAAAACCTAAGTGTCATAAAAAGCTTATAAATCATCCTAAAGCTTTCATTTATACCTTACTGGATTTCGCAGACCTTTCAGCTTACCGAGATATGTTCATTTTCTGATTTCAGTATTTCAATTTATCTTAATCCTTTCCATACCTTTGCCAAAGAGAACTTTCAATATTAACCAAACTGATTAGGCTATATCAAAACCAAGTACATATTTTTAGTCAGACTGCAAAGGCAGATAAGACACGTAAATTTCATTCCAATTGGATCACAAGTTATATATAAAAAAAAAAAAGCTTTAGAGGCGGTGTTGCTCCTTCATGAGCAATGTCTTTAGCAGGCGATTTATTCAGCACGTCGTCCGACGGACCGCGTTTACTACTTGTTTGTTTTGTTGTTTAGTAGTGAACTCTTCACGCAGTAACGGTTAGCTTTGGCATAGTATGTCGCTTGCCAATTCCCTTTTCACGATTTGCAACTGCGAACGCCGATTTTGGTATGAGCGAAAGCAACGAATCACACAGCCAATTTTAAGGAAAAAAACAACCACACCAAAATAAACAACGAAATCCATAGAGGCGAGAGTTGAGACAAAAAGTGGCACCAACGGTTGCACGGTTTCCCAAATACACTACCGTCAAGATACAACACCCAAGAGATGACAAACTTTGGTTTCCAATGACAAATGGATGGATGTTAATGGCTATGCCCTTTGCAGCGGGCAGTAGCTTGCGCCACCCAGCCCAAGTCTATAAAGACTTTGGTCCGGCCACTGTTGCCGATCGGCCAACAAATCTAAAATCCGCCACAGTCCCGGACAAGGTGCGAACTACAGGAAATCTCTCGAACACCCCGCTTCTTGCACGTGCTCGCTGCTTCTCACTCTGCCTTGGCTGCGCATGCACGCTCGAGGCTCACGAGAGACACCGAAGCGTTGTCCAAGGTAGGAAGCCGGAGACGGGGCAACTGAACCTCCTCCCTGTCATTCTCATCCTGCCGGTGACTGTGTTTGTCCGCACGGTTCGGAAGCGGTAGCCATACCGGTTTCTAGAGGTAGTCTTGCGAAAGGGCCACTCACGGTACGACGGCTGCATGACGATCTTGCGGTGCACATGGCTCCCGGCGTACTGCGCCACCTTGGCGCCGCCGTGGCCGTCGTAGACCGCAAAGAAGGCGGCGTCTTTGTCCTCCGTCAAGCTCAGCAGATGGGTGTGGGCATCCTCCATGTCTGAGGCGAGCCGTGTCAAGGCGGACGTCATCGGAGGAGAGACCACTTTAAACGGAACACAGACTGGGAAGAGCGGTGGTTTTTTGGGACTGGAGTAAAACCGTGTACCCTGGTTGACCGGGCACCCTTAACCGCAGTTAAATGTGACCGAGGTCAGACTGGACTGCCGTTAAGGGCGTCCGACGGGCACCCTAAACTGCAGTTACGCTTGAGTATGGTTAGCAGTTACTGCCAACTGTACCCTAATTACCCGGGCACCCTTAACCGCAGTTCAGTCTGAATTCGGTTACGCTTTCCTGCAGTTAAGGGTGCTCGTGTAACTAGAGTACGAGACAGCATTCTACCCGTCTCGCAGTTTGAACCGAAAAAGGTCAGTATTTTAGAGTGGCATGGCACAGCTGATGGGCATTGGGGTGGGGGTCGTCGTCGTGACACTTTGCGATGCATATTGTCATCGAGTTGTCAGCTATATTTGGGATAGCCCCATGTTACAGGGCAAACCCAAAGATAGTGTTTTGAGAGTTAAACTTTTGTTTTCCTTTGTGATTGGACTTTCTGTGCCACGCTGGCAAAAAGACATGCAAAAAAAAAGACTTTACACAATCTCGGACTGACTGAAGCGCGACAAAAGGAAAGGTAAATTTTGATGTGCAAGAACAGTCACAAAAAAAAAATAAAAAAATTCTTGAAATAAAAACCAAAAGTGATTGCTTAAGTTTAATAAAGTAAAAACCAAAACTGCCAAGTCCTAGCAATCTGCAAAGCGACAGCTTAAAAATACAGCTCTAGGAGAGGGAACAGAAGGTGCCATGGTCAACTGCTACCAGACTACATTCACCTCTAATAATAAAACATTGCACAAAAACACGAAGACAAGCAAAAGGAGTACACAAGACGAGCGTTGTCCTGAATACTCCTTTCACACGTGTTCCGTGTTTATAAGCATTGTTTTATCATTACCACTCGTTTGTTATTATTCCTGTTTTGTTATCATTATTTCACCCAGATTGCCGATTTAATTCCATTCACCTCTAAGCTGAGGCCGGCGAAAGCAGCATATTAGTTGCCCAAACGATTACTTGTTTGCCATATTATTTCATCTTCACTGCACCCTACCCTATGCATTCAAGTAAGCACAGTGAGCGTGACCGCATGATGCAAGGCCAACAGCTAATTGGTTCAACAAGCATGTACTGTCCACTACCCTTTTAGTTTTGCGGTGACCGAAAGACAGTCAGTATGGCTGTTGACCAAGAAAGAAAACCTTGAGCAGCACCTGCTACCAAACGATTAGACACGGGCGCTGTCACAGTTTGACAAGGCGCCCGGACGCTCGTGCGCTATACAAGGTTTGACGAACGTGGCCGCGGTATGTCTCAAAGTCGCGAGAATTCAGCATTAAAAATGGCATCCATCCAACCAAACTACCATTACATCTGAATCAATAAAAAAAAATCCATATGCAGAGAATGAGGCACCAAACGGGACAAGTGCTGTTACAATACTTTGTTTCATCTTCAGATGGACCAAAATAGATGCTAGAAGCCACTGGAGCCAATTCAATGCCACGCGAGTGTCATGTGACCTTCAGGATAGGAGCAGCAACACGCAGGGCGTGTAGCCCCGCAATATATTCGCAATGCTCGATTGGCTGGGACAGCTTGCAGCATCTGCTGCAGTCACTCATAAGGCGCAGTGAAATTTAAACGTCCTCTAGGCCGACCCTTGTACTGGTCGTACGGGGGAGGACATTGATCCAACATTCCTCCGTGCACGAACCGCCAGCTTTAACCTGGTCGTTCAGAGACGTAACCAGTGACTAGAGGTGGCACGTAACAGCTCAAACCGTGTATTGGCTGCACAGGAAAGGATACTGATACGCCATCCCTGCATGCACGACGCGCCAACTTTGACCTGGTCGTTCATGCAACTCGACGTTTCCTTCGCCGTCACCGGCTCGGAAAGTGTCTGACCCATAGTGCCTGAAATAAACAATGCAGACGTCAAACAGTGTCAAAAGGCAAGGATCCCATCAAAAGTACTGATGCACAGCTGCGCAATGTCGGATAACAGTGAATTCCATTTGCAGGTGTTGGTAGGTTGTACGTACAGGATTAACGGTGTAAGCGGCAAGCAAAGCTTTAGGACGCAGTACAGTGCAAAGACTATGCAACGTGGTTCAACCGCTGCTTAAGATTTACAGCGAAAAATCGGTTCGTTAAACGCCAACAAGTGATGAAGATAGGGCATGAAAACAATGAACTCTTGACAATGTTTCTTTAGCAACCTTTGTTGAGGTCACTGTGTTCTCGTCGAAAGCCTAAGACTCCTGTCAGGCCGTCATTTCAATTTGGATGCAATGTCAGCCAGCTGGCCAATTATTGATTGACTTGGCTTTCGTGGCATGAAAAGATATCAGATGGCACTCTAAGCAGCTCAGAATATCAAACTGCCAAGTAAACCACAGACTGATTTTTACTTAATCATAATTGATGTGTCGGTATGCAATGGTTCAAACTTCTGCTGCGATTGTTACTACACGCGGCAAACAGAAGTCACCCATTAAATGTCACAGGTTCAAAACACATTGAGTCATAGTGCTGCGACCAAAAGATGTAAGCAATATGTTTTGACGCCCCCCCCCCCCCCCCCCCACCAAAACAAAAAACAAAAAAAACTGCGTCGATTGTTTTTTGCCGTTTTTGGTGCGTGGCGGAGAACGCGTTTCCTCCCAGCAATCGCTTCCCAGAAAAAGAGAAAACGCACCGCGTACCGCTACCGCAAGCGACAGGTCACAGAATCTCGTCTTTGCGCCGCGAACAACCCATCCGACGTCGAAACCAAGTGCCACGATTCCTCGATTCGCGTTCGCCCGTAAAGTTGCCGCTGCGCGGAGTTCCCCTTATCGGTGAGCACCCCTCCTACCACAAGAGCGCTACGATTGAAACCGAAATCGACACAGCCACCCCGCCGATTGCACGGAAGACTGCAACGGACGGTAGATGGTTGCGAAAGACGCACTGTACACACCTCACTCGGCGTTTAACCGGTTCCCCCCAACCGATCACCGCTGCAGTGAGCCCGTGTTTACGTATCGACGACGAAAAGGGCCGTCGATATCCGCTCCGCTGTGCGACCGTTGAAATCCGCTTAAGCCTACTGCCGTTCCAAGGCGGAAAACGAGAATATCGGCAGCTCGCTGCTGCCAAACGATTAGAACAAAACATTCCGGTAGGACTCGGGGGCCAAGCTTGTACGATGAATCAGGGTTGAGGCGAGCTACGATGTGCAAGGGGCAGGGGACATGCAAATTTGTACGTTCGTTTTCGTTCGCCTCCGCTCTCGGTTGGGCAATGTCGTAGTACCCACCTAAAGTGTCGCTCAGAAACACGAACGGGTAGGGTTTCTAAAATAAAAAAAGGGGTGATATTTACATTGCGAGAAAGGGAAGAGCAAGCGTCTAGCGGCTCTGAATAAACGATAGAGGCGATACACGCAATATGCCACCGGCCAGGGATACATCACCAAACACACTACTCACCGACTTTGGGTAGCGCGGATTCCCAACCGACCGTTTCCTTCGAGCCGAGCGACAGCGGCTCGCGTTGCTTTTTCCAATTTAGCACGGAATCATTTCTCGTCCGTCGTCTTTCGGGCGGTGCGCGTGGTTTCACGTCGCGAATTTTACGGGCTAAAAACTCAAGGGGTGGGGGGGGCTAAATATTTTTTTGTTTTGTTTTTTTCATTTAACTCTTCGAAGGGAGCGAAGGAAGCGAGCGATTCATTCGCGCAAATTTTCTGTCCCTTTCCGTTCACGCGATAGTTAACGCGAATTCCTGTAGGGGCGCCTCCTTCCGCTCTGTCGCAAGAACAAAACAAGTCGTCATTAAGACAATTAATATAAGTATTAAAAAATGCTATTAACAGAAAATTTTCTGAGCTACCCTTGTCAGCTACAATTTGCAGGGGCTACATCGGCTACATTTTCAAAGTTAGGCTGGTTAGGCTTGCTAGACGGAAACGAATCCATTACAATCCAATCGAGATACAACCTTCGTGCTGCGTGCGAATGCTGCGAGTTTGACGCTTTCTTCGTGATCTAAGTTAATTATATTCCAATGAAGCCGCCGCCGAGTGGTCCAAAACTAAGCATAATATTGGGTGGATTTGTTGCCATTCTAGGAGCTGCGTTGTACCCCATCGCGATACATCCATACCTGCACTCCGACGAGTACAGTAAGTCGACCTCAGCAGCTTGGCAAACGGCGAAGGCTACTGACCCAGTGAGCCAATCGACGCATCAGAGGGAGACCTTTAGCACAACGAGTGCTGGAGAGGAGCGACCCCTTCTCCAGCGGTCGCTCTGCTAAGTGGAAAGAGATGTGAAGAGTTTCCCCCGAACTCTTCCCCGAGGAGATTTCCGAGATCGCCTAAATATAGCAATAACTCACTCTGCTTTGCTCTAAGCATCCTAGAAATTCCTAAATCAGGACGATATGCAACCAATTTCCCTATTAAAATATTTTTCGCCCACAATGTGCTAAGGAACGAAAGCGATGGCTGTAGCAAGGTCGCACAATGCTGGTGGAATGGTGCCATCACGTACGTGCTTGGCAACTTGGTTAATTCTGATAGCCGTCGTGGATGCCACTGACGACTGCCACCAGTGATCCGAGAAGTAAGTGGGTAAGTGCAATGAAAGTTTCTAAAACCACCCAACATTACGCATAGCAACTGGATACTGCCAAAGTGGGATTTTGCATAACACGAGTAATGTTTGAAAATAAGGCTTTCAAGCGGACCATGCAATGGATCTCCCTTCGTCGTGCAATTCTTGACGGGGCGTCAGGGCTGCCCTCATTGTTCTCTTTGCGCAGCACAGCCGACGGGAAGTCCCGACTTCTCTCTCATTGCACCAGGAGAGGGGAAAAGGATTTTTCCATAGCACCGACGACAGCCCACAAGCTTGAAATCTCTGCAAAGTGTTGTGATAAAACTGTCGCTTTAAAAACTAATCAAAGATTGCACGCAGTACACCGAGGTCGTCTCGGGCAACGGGACGAGCGTGTTTCGAAATCAGGACCACTGTCAGCCAATAGCAAGCACAGGATCCACGCGTCTCCAACCGGTGGACCTGCAGAGTGACATCTCGATTGCGTGCGGCTCATCACCTGAACACCCGGACTTCGGCGAGTTTTTTTAGTGTGTTGTACTCGCGGATGATGACGGATCGCATAGCATGCTTGGAAGTCACCCACATCACAGACAGAATCTGCGCAATGAAAACCGACGACTCGACGCAGCAAGCGCGCACTCGAGCAGATCACCGAACACATCACTCTCGCGGAAGACAAAAAAACACGAAACATAATACATTGTTTTTTAAACAAATATTGCCGTAATATGCTGCCTCTCTGCAAAAAAATTAACATCTGTCTCGTACTCTTATTATCTACAAAAGCATACACATTTTGTAATAACACAGTGTTTGCAATTCCACGAAATGTCATGTTTTCATTGATCCTTGATTGCCTTTTTCGTAGGAATTGAGGAATTTCTACGATGCTCACATCCCGCAGAGTGAGTTATTGCCGTATTTATGCGATCCCGGAAACCTCCTCGGGGCTCCTTTAACTTGTCACCAACCATAGTTGCGCGTAGTGCTGGCAAAGCCACGAGCAGAAGAAAGCCGCTTCTGTACGAACCTTGAGCGGCGGGTTAATCTTCGAGGCGGACAAAAGCGACGTTTGGGGGACACAAGAGGGAAAGGGTGAGAGGGAAGTTCCTCCTCTCCCTCTTCTCCAACTGCTTGGGCTTTGCTTTTTCTCCTTTACCCTAGGTAAGGGCTGCCATGTACCTTGCCTCTGTCGCTCCGATTGGCTCGAGGGAGGCTGTATCGTTCGCTCTTTGCCAAGTTACGGTGAAACAAAGCGTAGCTGTTACATTGAAGTAAAACTTGACTCTTTATTTTTAGAGCAAATACAGAAAAAAACGAGAAAAGACATCGACCAGGAATCTGTGCAGCCAGGAGGTAACAGAGTTGTGACACAGTCATTTGTCTGTACTAGAAGGACTGTTTGCAAGTCCTTCCCAACGTTCAAGGGTTCTTACACCAAACTTTCTTTCAGGTATGAAAGTGTGGTCGGACCCCTTCAGCAGGAAATGAAAGGATGCAAGACTGTCGTCTAGTAGCTTTAGGGGAGCCATGAATATGTATATACAAAATACAAAAATGTATTAAAACCTCCGTAGGAACGACATACGTATGCTTTGTGAAGTGTTGTATATGTGTGTGAATCTCTCGAAGTTGTTCAAAACATGCCGTTCACTGAAAATGGAACATCCACCACAGAATAGGATAAATGCTCTTTTAGCATTGTCAATGGTTGTGCAGAGCTGACTAGATTATATTATCAAGGCAGGCATTACGGCCACAAATCCGTATCAATGTTTTCAAATAGTCGAACTTCAAAACCGACATCACATTTGCCAAAGCTGTCATTGAAACATGATATAAAAAAGAAAGTAAAAACAATGCTAATTTTCGTTACAAGTGAGGCAATCTTTACGTTTGTACTTATACAAACTTGCATCATAGAAACCAATAAGATCTAAGTGCAAAACAAAACAAAAAGATTTAACTGACATCGCTTGGCACCAGTCACTGCAGATAAGCGACGGTTGTCATGCGCTCACAACTACACATAAAATAAAGTCAGGACAAAAGGATTCCATAAAAAACTCAAGTCTAGTGGTCTCTCGAATATTTTAATTCGACCGTCGGAAATAGCAACTGACCAAGTATGCCGTGACAAAACGGACACACTATAATCTGTTGCAGGTTACAAAAACAGGACAAATTAAATCGCCCAGTGTGGCCAGGGGCTGATTCAGAGGGGGGGTCCGGATGTCCTGACCCCCCTTTTGAATTCTGCATATGTACAGATTTAGGGCGTGGAAACCGGAAAGGGGGGGGGGGGGGGGGGTCTTAAAGATATGATACGCTGACCAACACCTGACCCCTCCCCCCTCAAGAAATACCTGCGTCCGCCCCTGATTGTGGCAAACAGAGAGCCTTCTAGGAGGCACTTGTCTTACTTTTCTCAACTTGCAACCGACTATATGCGGATAGAAAGTTGTCTGCTTCTTGCACAGGAGTTGCGGTGACGTCAGAATGACGCTGAGCTTAAATCGGCTTTGATTGGAAGGATAGTGGGTAGACCTCTATGCTAGATGCCTTGAGGTCTACCCACTTTTTTTTTCAATCAGTCAATGACAGCTCGGCACTCTGATATCACCACAATTCCTGTGCAAGAAGCAGACGAACTTGCACTACGCATAGAGTCGTTATTTTAATTCAACAATAAATCTACTCAATAAGACGGCATGAAATAGAATAACCATAGAACCTAGAACTACATCCCTGAGGCAAGTAAAACAAACTATACACGCCCGGCACAAGTCTCAGTCGGTATCCAAGTCCATGGGCGGACTACTTTCGGGTGACGCGGCCTTGTCGTCGCGGTTCGCGATGACGGGTTTGCGGTACGGCTTTCTCGTTTCCTTCGAAGGCGGACTTGCCAAGGTCGGAACGGGCGCCAGCGCCGTGTACCGCTCCAACAGCGCGATTCGCGCGCGGATCTGCTTCGACCTTAGGTCTGCCGCTGAGCCCGGCTCGACACTCTTCCTTCCCGAGAGGTCTAGTCCGTCGTTTGCGACCGCCGGAGTCCGCGGTTGCTGCTGGAAGACCGGTTGTTTCAGAGGTGCCGGAGCTGTCTTCGCTGTAGCCTGCTGCCATGGCAGTCTGTTGGGCGTCGTCTCGTAGGTGTAAAACGTCTTCAGCACGGCGTTGGGGGTCGTGGGAGGGGTCGGCGTCGGAGTTTGGAAGCGTTTGAGTGCCGCTGTCAAGAAGTTGCTCGGGTCCTTTTAGAAAAGACAGGAAAGAGAAGGTGTGTTGAAAAACATTTTATAAAAGTAAGAAAGACAAAACAGTCTAAGAAGCAAAAATTACACGCACGTTAATTTAACCAAACGCGATGAAATTAAGTAGCTTTACAGGAATGTTGTTAGTAGTGATGGGCCAAACTTTTGCCGAATCAAGAATTTGGCGCCGAATCTTAGGATTCGGCAAAGCCGAATTTTTGCCAAACTTTTCTAAATATTTGGAAACATACATTGTTGCCAGACCTAAAAGTCGATGCAGCAGGGTTGAAGGTTAGGCTAGTTGGTAGCAGTTCATGATAAAATAGAAAGCACGCAAAAAACAAGGATGAAAAAGAGAGTACACATACAACAGACAGGTGCTTGAAAGTTGATATTTCATTTGTTTCAGGCGAAAAAAGATTTGAGGTTTTTTTTAAATGCATTATGAGTTTTTTTTTTTTTATGACAGAGTTATTTCTAAATAAGGTGATATTCTACAAGATAATTGTATCGGTGTCATTTGAGTGTGTTTACTGGCAATTTTACAGTGACTTTTTGCAAAAGTGGCACGACAATGAAGTGCTTTGGTAGCGGACGCGTCACGATACACGAGTTTCGGTTCTGAGGCCTCATCGCGCAAGCCTGCAAGTGTGTACATTGTTGACATAAAGGCGGTAACAATGTTCTTACATTCTCTGCAAGTCATTGTTTCGTGTGCGAAAATTAATGCAACGGCTGCTGATCCTCCACCAGAAGAGATGCATGTTTGTTTGTATATAAGTCACTTCAGCTTTGCATGAAAGTGTGCGTCCCATATTCGCAATGTCTCATTTTTAACTTTTAAAATGCCGGTTTCAGAAGTTAGGACAAGCGCAAACATAAGGAAGATGGGAAGAGTAAGGAATGTTGGATATGCAACGTCCTGTGTTTAGTTTTATCTGGATAGATGAAAACCACGAAATAACGCGAATTAAAAAGCAACAATTATTTGTTCTGGCACAAACTACTCGTGAGCCAAAAACAGGATTGCTATAATGGCGAGGAGTTCTTTGGAGTACTTGTCGGTCAATGTTGCAACAACCTTATTGCGTCACTGGAAAGATCAAATGAAAATCGCGTTATCCAGAATGTACCGCATCATTTGTCACTTGCGCTGTGGACTATGTCTTTTCCTGGTCAATCTTCTGTTCTTCAGGCAGAACATATTGACGACAACCACACTCACAAAGGTTGACAAACACACAGTTACCATGTCACCTACCCCGCACGTCGCCGTAACCTCTGGTAGTACTACATTGTACAGTGTAACCGCATGATTGCACAGTGTCCATTTGCAATCCATGGCCCCGTTTTGATCTCGTGCGTGTGCAGACGTTTGCCGAATCTTTGCTGAACTTTTCTTCAAAACTTTGGCATGTGCTGAACTTTGCCGAGTCTGACGTTTGGCAGATTCAGTCCATCACTAGTTAGTGAAAACTATTAGGAAAGAAAATGGTATGTTGAGAAAATGGTTCTAATATGCCGTGCACACAACGAAGACGACTTCAAGGATGGCGTCTAGGACGACCTTTACGACGACGTCGAGGACGACCTCAAAAACGATGTCTAAGACGACCTCTAGAACGGCGTCCTAGATGACGTCAAAGATAACCTCAAGGACGACCTCTAGGGCGACGTCAAGGATATTGGGTTATCTCAGCTTCAGCTACCGGCACTTACAAGCTTATGCAACCGGCATTTACGTGACCTTGATTATGCAACCTTGCACTTCAGCCATGGGCATTTCGTAAGCTTGATTACGCGACCTTGATTGGGTTATCTCAGCTTCAGCTACCGGCACTTACAAGCTTATGCAACCGGCATTTACGTGACCTTGATTATGCAACCTTGCACTTCAGCCATGGGCATTTCGTAAGCTTGATTACGCGACCTTGAGGACATGACCTTGAGCGTGGTTGGACCTACAAAACCATCGCTTTAAACACTTTAAACGAGAATTGTGCGACACCATGATGCCACATGACACCATGACTCCCGTGGCACCATGGCTTTACATGACACTGCTTCTCGTGGCAAGGGCTATGACGTCCAACCGCCAGCCAGACTCCTTTGCTGACACTTCCTGCCACGGCCTTGCTATGGTGTCACCAGCACCAACACGAGCAAGCAAGGTCCAAGAAGGGTTCCTGTATCAAAAGGACCGTGGAACAACAGTCTAGCGAAGGGATGCATGCGAAGCTTGCAGCAAGTTAAAGTGGACTGCTTTCCTTACCGGAATGAACTCCTTGATCGTGACAAGGGCGCTGCAGAGATGGCTCTTGTGGGGAGAGCATGTCACCTCCGAGAAGTCGGTCGTGGCCACCACTGCAACCTTGCCGAGCTCTCGGTTTCTAGGTCGGAGGACGACGTCTGTCGCCGCCACGAAATGGCCCGGACCGACGGAGTCGTCTGCTAGCACAGCCTGCATGGATCCCAGGGTTCGGACCACTAATTTCACCTTCTGAACAAACAGTTCGGCGGGAGCTGAAATTAAACTATCGTGCCACCACATTACCATTTCCAGATTGTTTCTGGTGTCGGTGCCCTGCAATGCATACTTCGTCAGGTCGACTGGGGAGTTGCAACTTTACAGAACGTGATGCGAGTGCTATCGGCACACAATTAAACACAAACTTCAGAACGCGTGGCCTTCGACACACGCTGCGCTACCTTGAAGGGTGTGCACATTAGAGTGAGCGCACACTCTAACGGTCCCCCCCCTTTTCCGCTCCGCAGTTTTACCAGCCTCCAGGTAGCGCAGCATTTATCAAAGGTCACGCATTCCTAAGTTTGTGTCTCATTACGTGCTGCCAAAACTTTGGTACTGGTTAGACGGACGCATTGTGGCTTCATCTCGGTAACAGGGCCCGTAGTGTTATCCAGGAGATTAACTAAGGTCGGCGGTTAAGGCAAAGCCTCACTAAGTTTTATAATTTGTGCAAGACGAATTCACGCCTTATTTGCTGTTACACAATCTGCGATGAGAAGACGAAGGCACCGAAAGGGACCAGCAGAAGTTTTTACGTCGGCCCATGCTCAGAAAGGAATGCGGTGGTTCAGAACAGAATGCACACATACACTGAATTATATGACTGCAAGTAGGTAAGTGCTCAACTTTTTTTTAAATATATATTCTATGTGCCTCAACAAAGGCCAAGTTAGCTTTTGCCAGACTGTCAGTTTTCTGGATGGGCTAGTGAAATTTCCACCATTTTTTTTAGGCTGCATGCACAGCTGAGACACCTTCCAAAGCATGTAGCTGTCATTTGGCCATCAGTGCGATTCTTGTTAAAGGCCAACTCTGGTCAAAAACAAAACCAAAATATGACTGGCGGTGAACATATTTCGTGCCTTAGTGGCACGAAATATGATTGCAGCCAAAATATTACGTCAAGGTGAAGCCGTGTACTCGACTAAAACCAATTTTAAAGATGCAATCAGCTGATCTTTAGTGGTTGGCAAGAGGGTTATCTTTTAGTCAAGAAACACAGGGCGATGCGTACCGCACCACTCCCGTGACGTCATATTGCGGAGGAGCTGCGGTTGATTCTATGCGTTGTACCGTGTACCGCAGCACCACAATCACGTCACATAGCATAAGTACAGCTGATGATCAGTTTTGGCATCCCTCTAGCAGATCGATCACGTCACGTCGTGTACGTACAGCTGATGATCAGTTTTGCCATCCCTCTAGCACAGGGGTTCTCAAACTGGGTTCCGCGGAACACAGGGGTTCCACGAGCTGGTCTCATGGGTTTCGCCAACACCCAAATTGCAACCCCCCCCCTCCCCCCCCCCCAATGCCGTAGGCTGCGCGGCAGGACCATGCAAAGCACCTTCATTTCACTTTGTACTGACATTGTGATTGATATGGTGGGGATATATGGGAAGCAACACAAGCGAAATTGCCTTCAATTGTGCACCTGTCGCTTCTCGGTTGGCAAATATGGATGGGGGGGGGGGATTCCGCGGCAGTTTGTGAGGCTTCCTGGGGTTCCATGAGGCCAAAAAGTTTGAGAACCCCTGCTCTAGCAGATAGTTTCGGTTTTGCCATAGACGCCCGAAACCCAACTTTGAGCCAGCGATATTTATAAAACTACACACAATATCTAAACAAAAGTTATACCTTGTAATTCGGAACACTGACTGAGCTGAAAAAGGTTCGAAATTCCAAATTTGAAAATATTGGCAACGGGAAAAGTAGCAATTTTTTAAGGATCCGTGAAATCGCTCTTATTTTCCTGGCTGATTTGCATAAGAAGTAATATGACATATCAAAATGTGGCTAATTATAGTTGTTCTTTCAAAAGAAACCGAGGTTGATATAATGTGGGAAAAAGATTTTAAAATTTTATTGTTTGAAAAGACAATGTACTACGTGCAGAAGGCGTATGTACGCTGACACCTCTACAGAAATTCAAATTTAACGTCAAATAAAAGAAAATTCAGAGTATACAAAATGTGCCCACACCCACGGTTATGCGGAGTGCAAGTTCGTCTGCTTCTTGCACAGGGGGTTGTGGTGACGTCGGAACGACACCGAGCTCTGGTTGGCTCCGATTGAAGGATAGTGGGTATACTCCAAAGCCACCTGCTTCGAGGTCTACCCACTATCCTTCAATTGGAGTTAGTCAGAGCTTGGTGCTCTGATGCCGCCACAACTCCCTGTGCAAGAAGCGGATGAACTTGCGCTCCGCATTACTTCTGAAAGTTAGTGTAATCTAAATGTAGTTGTCTATTTTTGGTTCGTCAGAGAGTTAGCCTCTGTAACATGTGGGCTTTTCAAAGAAGGAATGCTTATATTGGTGAAACACAGATAGTACACCTCACATCCCCAGCAGAATGCTTTCTCTGTGTTCTACCTTGCTTTTGGTCATGGCCTTGATTGCAGTTCCCTCATATTTAACATTTTTGTCAGACTCGTTGGGAACATAAAACGTGTACGCCGGCTCAGGACATCATTGGAAATTATAGTGATGCTTACCGACAACCATCTGTTAAGCAACGCCTATAACATCATTTAAAGTGTCCCCGGAGCTCTTGAGATCGAAAACATATGCCACAATACAACTGAATTATGTAAATAACGCCAACTGTGTTATAAAGATTGATGCAAGCAGTTAGCCATGTTATACAAGTGCAAGCACCGTTCCCCAGACTGCTTTTGACAGCCCACCAGCTTGGGATAAAGCTCAAACCTACAAAGAAATTGAAGCTATGTGGAACATAATTTTCCGCACTAAATTTAATTTCTTGACGGTGCCTGGAAATTATCTATCACCAGTGATCGATGGCCTGTAGGTGCGGTCAGGAAAGAGTTAAGGAAGATGTGTAACATAATCTTAGAAAGTTTCTAAAAAATTTTATTTTTTCTTTAGGAGCCTTTATAACTGTACACTTTTGTCGAAAGTTTCAAGACACGAGTTCTTATTTTTTTTGTTTTCTAGAAAAGAGATAAGTACATAGAAACCAGCGGCAATCGCCAAAAACTATAGCCAAGCTTTTGTCGAGAATGGAAGCCTGGCTATAGCTCAAGGGGCATGCATAGAACTAAACTTTGAAAGCTGCTTCTGTGTCTCTTTAAAGTAAAGCGGACAAGAGCGCCTTTTGGGAACATACTAGTACCTGGCTCTGCTTTGCGACGACGAGCTGGACAAAGTTGAGCTTGGAGTCCGCCAGGTAGAAGATGTCCCTCTCGCTCTGACGGCTCACCAGGAACACGAGACCCACAATGTCCACAGCCCGCCCGGGCGAACCGTTCTCGCTCAGCAACACCGGAAAACTGGTCACCTGTGACGGAAAACCCTCGGTTCAAAACCAACTCGCTCTTGCCTGGCGTGAGAAATGCAAGATTGAAGGGTTGCTTCGAGCGTTCAAAGCTCAAGTCGGTATTTCGTTAAATTTTCTCGACCGAAGCAAAGACAGTGGGACTGACCCGCCGATAACTGGACCTGCTTAGAATGAAATACCGTATTTACATTATTCTAACGCGCCGACCCCCGATTGTAACGCGCATTCTGTTTTCTTATCCAAGAACAATGATTCTAACATGTCCCCGATTTCGGTTTCAGATCGGATTCTGTAATGCATAGGCCGTTTTTAGGTATAGACCAGCACACTGTGTACAAACAAGTATGCACTACAGATGTGCAAAAACAAAATTCGCCCGAAGAGAAGCGTCCATGCATGAGCGGCGCCGATAGCAGCACCACCCTGGCGGCGTGACGTCAGAGCTGCGAGTTGGTGCGTATTTTTCTTGAGAAAAGCTGTCGTCAGAATCGGGAGAGTATGGTACACTAGATTCAAGTTATCGTTCATTATTACCCCCAGATACAGAGTCAAACTTCCCCCGGTCATCACACGCTTTTGTTCCAATTGCTTGACACGACTCGCATTCCGCGATTATCCAACTTTCAAGCAAACGTTCGCAATGAAACCAAACGGCAAAAAATTAACGCCGCAAAAGGGCCAGTCACGATAACGATGAACATGTGTGATCGATGAACATGTGTGATCGATGAACAAGTGTGATCGATGAACACGTGTGATCGATGAAAACGTGTGATCAATGAACTTGTGTGTTCGATGAACGTTTAGACCCGGTCGTGACACCGAGCTTTTGACTGGACTTCCGAAAATTCGTAGAATTCTATAACACAAAAATGAAAGAAAACGACAGTACACGTGAAAATTGCACACAAACACTTTGGGCAGGGGAGTTCCATTAATAATGCAGAGAAGTGAGTCCTCGGAACCTCGTGCAACATTGGCATGAGCACCACCTGGAAGGAACGGAACTCGCCTGACGGCTGTAGTAGATCCGGATGTGCTCTGGACAGTCAACCGTCTCATAGCGGGTTCCTTTCGACGTTGTCAGTTCCACAGCGCAGTTCTGGACGTCGGGCAGGACGTTCCTGTGTGCAGTCGCATTGTGTCGTGAAGGAAACGAGAAACTGCAAAGCTATAGTTGACCCACTCCCGTGCATCTCTGAAAACTACAAACTACCACCAAGGGTAATTCCTGGTTTCTTGTCGCGTCCTCCAAATAAACTGCAGTAACGACTGAGGCACTGCAAACTCTGTTGAGCACAGACTATACTCAGTTTCACGATAACTTGGCGAACTCTGGAGGTTACGGCCCTCACGATCCGATAAGAGCGTCGAAGTAAGGCACTTGACCTTACGTCGCATGACTTCAGGATGTCACATGGCTTCAGGATGGCATGTGACGTCGCAGTGTCACGTGACTTCACAGTGCTGCGTGCTATCGCTTTAAAACCAGCAAAGGTGCCTAGAGCAATGTGACGCCGAGCAAATGGTTGCTCACCGACCGTTCCCAAGATGCGCCACAGGTGGGATTTCGAAGTCACAAGATGTGCACTCACCTGACGGGGCTCACGTGGACGTTGTAGACTGACACCGCCCTGCCTTCGACCAGCGTTTGCCGAAGCTCGTCAGTGGGCCTCCACACGCTCAGGACGCAGCCTGAAGACGGAAGGGAGGGACTAGGTCGCCAAAAAGCTGTGCTCGGAGCCAGCACGTAGCCGGGGGAGGGGAAGGGGGGCCTGGCCCCCCCCCCCCCCCTTTCCGAAATCTTTCATTTTGCTGGGACCTCCTGTCCCCCCCCTGCCCCTCATAAAACATTTTGTCATGGGCAGGCCCCCCCCCCCCCCTCCAACCCGAAACAAAATCCTGGCTACGTGCCTGGCTCGGAGTATTCACACTTTTTTCCCCCCAATGCCCGACGCCACCAGCCTGAAGGCAGAAGGAGAGTCTGATCATTCGTCTGTTCGCATCACGTGACATTTGTTTGCATGGTAGCAGCTCGTGGGCACTTCCAACTCTGTGCTTAGAGCTACACAGGCACCCTTTGCAAAGTTCGGTGTGCTGAAATGCGACCTTTTGAGCAGGAGATACGGTATTAGTATAGCCACTCACAGGGTGAGAACGGGCAGTGCACATCTTTTGAATTCCCGGCCTCCAGCAGGCTCTCACAACGTGTTTTGGTTGCGAGCGCACGTGATCGAGATGCACGAGACAAAGCGTTATCAAAGACGGGAAGCATGCACTGGAGGCAGGCCAACTGAAGCTCCTCCCTGCCGTCCTCACCTTGTTGGTGACTATAAGAGATCATTGCGGTATCATTGTGCACTGTTGTGAACCGTTTTCGTGAGCGAGATGGTAGAAAACGGTTTTTGCGTCGTCCGTCAGGCATGTACGTGGAAGCTCGTGACAAGTGGCAACATTGATTCCATGCACCAATATGGCTGGAGCGTCGTTATAGAAGTGTCGTCTAGGTATTCAAGAGCACGTCGCAAACAAACAAAGGTATAAAGGCGAGGAACACTCACAGACATTCTTGCGCAGATCCGATTCGTGAATCCCTCCCACGAGGACCTTGAACACCGGGATTACATTCCGCTCTTTTGGACACTGCAACAGAAAGTCCTGCTCAGCCTCAAAACCGGTCTGCTCTGTAAACTGTCGCCCTTCTGTTTCACTGGTGCAGTTTCAGCAAACTATATACTACTACAGTAGGCTCGCGATAATTCAGACTCTGACATTGCTGAAATAATTTTCAAAATATTAGGTCAATATTTTTTTTTTCACAATGTCATTGAATTTACAATTTTGGTCCTCATCATGTTTTTCAAACTGAAAGTCTATACTGGCATCAACGAAAAAGTGATGCCAGTGGAAGGCATGGGTTCGCTTTTTGGACTGTAGAATTTGTTCCCAACTGATTCCAAGCAGTTTCATGGTGTCAAATGAATGCTTTGAAAGCTCGCTCCAGTACCCGTGCTACAGCATGGAACAAATGCTTGGCATAGTCTATTATATTTCAACTGCTTGCTCGACTGGAAAGAAGCCTGTCTGCCACTGACGTCATGGCACTGAAAAGTGTGGGTATGTTTGAATGTTTTTTTTTGGCATCATTTTCATTTGCCCGTTTCGCAATAAATATTATGAATTTCACGATGCTAAATAGTGTACCGGAAAGGGTGAAGGCCGGGGATTCAGAAAATATAGTTTAGTCGGGGTAGCTAAAAAATTGTAAAGCCCTTCCACTTCACGTGAAGATGGAGGACCAGCAAAGCTGTTATTTTTACGACGTCTAGGACAATGCCTAGAGGATGACATCCAGGACGACCTTGCAGACGACTTCTAGGATGACCTCGAGGAAGACGCCTAGAGGACAATGTCTAGGACAACCTCAAGGACGACTTCTAGGACGACGCCTAGGACGGCCTCGCAGACGACCTCAAGGACGACTTCTAGGACGACCTCGAGGACGATGCGTAGAGATAGCAAGGGATCAGGACCTCACTACCTAATAATCCCAAGGAAGTTTGACCCACGCTGGTTGCCCCCTCTTTATTTTTATTTATTCATATTTGCCGTGACCAATGTTGAGTTTTCTATCAACATTCGCGGACACATTTTTTCCCAGATCCTAGCGTATAACAGCTTCGCTGTAAAAAAATCGCTGGAGTACCCCTTTAATTTAAACGGCGTTTTCGTGTAATTCATACTTTTTGTTCTCGCGGCCCCGTTGAGTGCTCTTCTTTCCAGGCACTGGTGCACTGCAGAGAGGCAACATGCGCAAAGCATGCTTCTGCAGGCATTGCTTCTCCGCAGTAAACCGGTGCTCGGTGAAAAGTGCCCTCAACAGGGCTCCAGCAGGGTACCATGATCTATGAAAACGGGTACCACGCGGAAATTTCTGCAGCGACTTGCATGGATGCTGTGACGTGGCGGCATGGTACAGGTCCACGTCACAGCATCCGTGCAAGTTGCTATGAAAGCTGCCGAGCGGTGCCCGTTCTCATCACTCAGGTGTTCCCTGCTCAATATTTCACATTAGACAACTTCTCGGCCCAATGAACAAACGTGATTTTGTTTGAGTGGTCATGTGCTGTCTATACAGTCCACAATAAACAACATTTCTGCAGTCTTGGGCAGTAACTAGTCACTAGTAATGCGTTACCGGCAACTACCGTAAAGTTCCGAGAGATTGCCCATACCGTTTTTCTGGCTAAATACCTGTAACATAAATATTCCGAAACATCGCCCACCCCCTATTCCCGTTGGACGTCACACAACGTCCTACGGGAATCGCATCAACGGCGTAATTTGCTGTACCGGCACGTCTGAAAAGAGAGCTCATAGCGGGTTTGCGCGTTTTTGTCCGCAATCTGCGCGCGCGCGATATCGGCTCCTGTAACACGCGAGTTGTTCCCGTTTGTTTGTAGCAGATTTCAAAGTTTGTAGCAGATTCCTGCGTTTTTGTCCGCAATCTGCACACGCGATATCGGCTCCCGTGACAGACAAGTTTGTAGCGGGTTTTGCGTGTTTATTGCACCATAAAACTTGAATCTGCTGTGTCCGCGATTTTCAGTGTTCGTTCCAGTGTGATGTGAGTTTTCGGCGGGTTTCCGCGGGTCCTTGGCACCGTGAAACGCGAATCTGCTGCGTCCGCAGTCTGCGTTATCCTTTTCACTGACACACGAGTTCGTAGCGAATTCCCGCGTGTTTATCGCATTGTGAAACACAAATTTACGGTGTCCGTGATCTGCAGTATCAGTTCCCGCGTCACATGGTTTGTAGCCGGTGCCAGGGTGTCTATTATTAATTTTTTATGAAGTTTTGCTGTGGCGTCGCCAAAGATCGCCCACCCCATGTTTTTCACCATTTATCTGCTCATTTTGGGTGGTCATTCTTTTAAAACTTTGCGGTAGTTATTTTTTTTTAGTAACTTGTAACTGTAACTCATTACTGCTTAGTGGAAATAACTTGTAACTATAGCAGGGTTGCTATTTTTTGGAAGTAACTGTAAAGAGTAACGTTGTTACAGTCACTTCTCAGATTTATATGCAAAAATATTGCGAAACACGAACACCAAATCGTCAAGAAACTCGTGAGAGAGTCTGAAGTCCTGGTACGGGAAGGGCACAGCAAAAACTGCTGCAAAAACAATCTGAAGCTCAAAAGAAAAAAAATAAAAAATTTGGATGACCCTGCTTTGACAAGCTTTCCCGTCAAGTGGGATGATGGGGACGTTTGTGTTTGCACCCGCCGTGTAGAATGCATCGCCACAGCGCACGTAGATGTAACAAAGCGCGGCATCTCTAAAACGTTTCTCTTTTATTCGTTCGACAGAGGGAGCAAATGCTTTTTACGGAGGACAGTATTTGGTGATTGTCGCCCCAAACGCCCACGGGCTTACGGGACAACCGATTTTCCTCACCTCGTCTTTCTGCCGCCAAGCATACGGTTCCTTCTCCTCCAAATCTGAATCGTCCAACTCCCAGAAGTACTCTTGTGAAGTCTCGACTTTAGGCCCATTTGCTCTCCCTTCGCTTTTTTTGCAACCTAATTACCGACCTTGCCCCCCGTCGTACACTTCCTCTACCCAATTGCTCCGCTTCTTGGGTCCTGTCACTTGAGAAAGAGTATTCGCTCAAACCGCCTGTGTCATTCTGCTTGTTTGTGTGGTTTCTTAAAATGGAAAGACCGCCCTTAATCGGGACCAGAGGCACTTGTCATGACTTGATTTATGGATATTCACGTCGTGGGATTTCCGGGTGGTCTCTTCTAGTTGGGGAGGTGAGATGGAGAAGCGCAAACGTGTCCGATCTGGTTAGGGTGCGTTGCGTTCTACACGTCCACGTCCACTGCGTTCTACACGCAGTGGACGTTTGTACCTTGATCAGCGATTCTTTTGCACCGCTGCCGTGTTCAGCGGGTTTGACGGAGGAATGTTGCAGCGACATTACTCTTCAAGTTTTCAAGAGATGCTTCATGTTTCATGAAAGATTGTGAGCATGCAGTAGAAAACAATTTGATTGATGAGTGGATTGGAGTGGCATAAGGAAACATCTACGAAGCTGACTGCAAGGTATGACTTATATTATTATTGACTTGACATTTGCACGATTTTTATTGCTTCCGTCCCATTTCGCCTCACCAATTAGAAATTAGAATTGACCGATTGTAAACTTGCACCATGATTGGATGTGCCCGAGATCTAGACGCATGCTGTTGTATTCGTGTATACCTTACGGTGATCACACTTATTTTAAAGTTCTTTATGAATCATTAGCAGGCATCTCCTAGCTTAACATTTTGAAAAACTGAAGTCACCTATTACTTTTGCCGAAGACCTATAAATGCTTTATCATATAGTGTCTCTACCAATACTGTTTTAAATTATGATCTTGTTCAAAATCCTATTCATGGTAAAAATTGAAATAGGAAGAATCAAACATGTTAATATTGGTTAATAGGAAAATCTTAGTTTCTCAAAAAATCAATTCACTACAGTGAAAAACACAATATCTTATGAAAAATTTATGCTAATTGAAATGCATATTAAGGAGGTTCCTTTTGAATGCTTTATATTTTTTCATAATGTAATGACGAAATAACGGCGTTACTTTAGAGAAGTAACTAACAAATTACTCTTTAAACTTTGGAACTGTAACTGTAGCAGGGTTACTTTTTTTCCCTGAGTAACTGTAACACTTACATGTTAGCAGTTACATGCCCATGACTGCATCTCTAAAGGATAAATAAACTTACTTAATACATTTCACAAGTGTTTCTCATGTGGCATAACTGCTTATGATTAGTAGGCCTACCGTAAAATACCGGACAAGCGCCCACTAAAAATTTAGAAATAATCGCGAGAATATAAATGTACTGCGCGTATTTGCTCAGATCTTAAAAATTTGGGAATGGGAGCTTAATGTGGACTGGGCGGATGCGCAGTATTCTACGGTATGTAGAGGAAATAATCAAATATCTGCGTTGTCTCGACAGCCATTTATATGTCAAATTATAATTTTATCTTGCATCATATTTAGATAAATTTCTGATAATTCAAGCTTCTGATAATTCAAACAAAATTTGCGGCTTCCTGGAGTTTGAATTAATGAGAATCTACTGTATGCACTACAAAAAACTTAGATTTTGCGCCGACTAAATTGTTCTCGAATTGAAAACAATTATGAAGAAAAGTTCCATTCAAAAATATAAGATCGCCATACATTTACCACGAAATTTTCCAAAAGGCAGCTCAGCTAGCACAGGGGATAGGGTGCTGGATTAGTGAATGAGAGGTCAGTGGATTGATTCCCGCCGGGGTAGTCTTTTGTAGAAAAAACCTGGCCGTGTTTTATATTTTCGTAACACCATTTCACGGTGCTCTAGGCTCGAAACCCAGCCCAAAAACGCATCTGCGTTAAAAAGGCTGCAGAGGAGAAAAATCTTGAAGGAAAAAGTGGAGCAGAGAGGTCACGTAGATGCACCGCGGGAGAAGGTGCGGCGCGTTTAACTTGCCTTGCCTTCTTCTTCGGCCTGCTGAAAGGCCTGCTCCAACTTCTGCTGAAGAGCCAGCTGCTTCTGGTTCAGCTGCTGGTCCTGGTACTCGTTCAGAAGCCTCAGTTGGTTGGGTGTCAGGATACGCTGAAATGCAGCGTGGCAACCTCAACCTGTCAACTTCTATGCTGTTTCAATGTCACTCGATTTAACACCATTTTGTGCGGCATTACTTACCAGAGAGAAGGCACAGCCTTTGCAAGATAGGTATCTTGTGTTAATCAGGTGTTGAGTGTGACATGGCTTAGAGCTTACGCTTGTGCATGAAGCGCAGCTAAGTTTGATGTGCCTAGGGAAATATGGTTGAGCCATAGAACACACCAGAATCCTCAGCGGTGCACAAGCAGCATTTTATTTATCTCAGGATAGGCACTTCATTGGCTAAAAATAAGATTTGCACAACCAAAAATAGACGTTCTGCTCTAAAGATGGTTCCACTTAAACGTTTGAAATAGAACAGGTCAGGAGACCGTAATTATTCGGCTTGCGCATACAACTCAAGTTTATTCCAGTGTCTACCTCTATCTACAGTAGAATCTTGTTGATGCGACCTCGCATAACGAGTTTTTTGGTAAAATATGGTTTTCCTTTCATTCCCGGCCAAGTCCCCTATAGAAGCAGTGTATTTTGATAAAACATTACGATCACATTTTCGCTTGAAATTGGATAATATGAGTACAGAAGCGTGTTTTGATCAAAAACATATATCTTTACATTCCAGTCTACTAGCACAAATCATATTGCAACAAGCAACAAACGTCCTGTTACACGGCCGCAGTCATGGCGAACAGTGGCAGAAATACGAGCAAAAAAACTTTCAGCCTTTTTACTCTGGTGAAGAAGGAAGACCAGCGGAGCTGTACTATGGTCAGACGACCTCAAGGACGACTTCTTGGACAACCTCAAGAACGACGCCAAGGACGACGCCTAAGGATGACGTCTAAGGATGACGTCTAGGACGACCTCAAGGACAATGTCTAGGACAATCTCAAAGACGACTTCTAAGATGACCTCAAGGATGAAGCCTAGAAGACAATCTCAGGGACGACATCTAGACGACCTCAAGGACGACGCCTGGGACGACCTCAGGGACGACGTCTAGGACGACCTCAAGGACGATTTCGAAGACAACGTCTAGGACGACCTCAAGGATGACTTCTGGGGCGACCTCGAGGACGACGTATAAGTTGACCACAAGAATGACTTCTAGGACGACCTCGAGGACAACCTCTCCGACGACAGCAAGGACAACCTCAAGGACGACGTCTAGGACGACCTCAAGGACAACTTCTAGGACGACCTCGAGGACAACCTCTCGGACAATCTCAAGGACGACGTTCAGGACAACCTCAAGGACAACTTCTAGGACGCCATCTAGGACGACGCCTAGAGAAATTCAGCCTCTCCACTCTGGTGAAAACAAGAGTGGAAAAGCTGGAAAGGTTGTCGCCATCTATGAGCAAGGCCGGCAAGCGGATTGTCTGGTTGCCGCCGTCGCTCATAGATGGCAGTAGCTGTCCAGAGTTTTGTGCCTACATTTCTTTGCGGGGGACACGATCCTGGGGAAACTAGCCCTTAACAGCTCCGCTGTAAAAGCAGCCTCAAGTTATTGTTCAAATATTCTAAATATATCTGGGCCGATCCCAAAGGCTGTGCAATACCGACAGTACTGGCTGCTTCCAGGATCGAAACAAGTTTTTCACCACACAAGCATATTTTTTGTCCTTTTGGAGCCCGTTTCGGATAATACGATATTAGGATAATACGTTTTATTTTTCTGTTTCCAGTTGAGAAAAGTATCACCGAGATTCCACCATTTTACGCAGGGCAGCAAAGGTTTCAAGAAATATGCCTTTGTAGCACGAACGTTTGTTAACCGAAAGCATTTTACAAAGCCGCAATCTCATGCAAGTAGACTTAGCTGCCCTGTAAGGCTGAAGGCAAATGGAGTTTCACCCTTATTTATTACCTAAGCTTGCAGGTTTTTGGTGAACGGACACGCCCGAGCAAATACCCAAGTATGACAAAAACAAAGCAACAAAATACAAGGTGGCCACTGTGGATCCTAGCGTCGTAAAATGAACCGAAATAACTCAACAACTGCATGTGGAGAGCCTGAACTTTCACCGAATGTGCATTTAGGCAGTGGATTCTACCTTGTGAAATTTTGAAGAGTAGCTCTCTTCCTGCGAGAAATGGGACTGACAAACTTGCCAGGGTCAATGGCAGATGTGCTCGCAGGCGATAGAGTTAGCAGTGGTTGTAACTTGCGGCCCTGTATCCCGCAGCAAGCAGACGAAGCACTCTGTGGTCTGCTCGCCGCTCCTAACGAGAAATGGTGCAGCCATCTCCCAATAGGTGTATCGCTGATCCGCCGTCGACCCTGGCAAGTTTGTTGGTCTCACTGTTCACGCGAAGGGACGATAGGCATGAACAGCGGGAGTGCCAAGCATGCTATGCCCCCCCCCAACGGCTTGAGACGGGTGCAAATTCAGTCAGGTTCTCTTTCTGTTGTGTAACACAACAAAAATAAAACCTTACTGGATTTGCGCCCCTCCAGAGCGTTTGGGGGGGCATGGCATGGTTGACCTTTCCAGCTGTGCACGCCTAGGGAAGAGAGCGACACCTTGAAATTTCACAAAGCAAATTGTTTTCTGTTTCGTTGGAAAACTCTAGGATCTGTTGTGGCCACCCTATACTAGTATAGGGTAGCCTTATATTCACCCCGCGGAGGACACATAAACGTGGAAGACCGCATTGCGGACGAAGGATACAATGGGAGCAAACGGCGAGCCAATGTAGCATTCAGAGTTTACTGTCGTCGGCTTCATACCTCGATCTCCACGGAGTCTGCAGAGCAGCAAAGGGCCTTCCAGATGTCCTGTCCCGAGGTAAGGCCCTGGATCTGCTTGACGGAGTAGGACACCTGGACTCCGCTGAGCGTCTCCAACGACAGACCCTCCGCTGGGCGACGGATTAATATGGAAGATTAAGAGAAGATCAAATCCGGAAAAACGACACCAGAGGACACCTGTATGGTACCCTGTTCTCCCACTTGTCAAAGCAAGAGCTGTGAGTAACCCTGCACCATCGGGGGGGGGGGGGGGGGGGGGGGGTACTACTCTGCATCCCATACAATGGTAGACCCGGTACCATTGTATGTCCTCTGTGCCCAAACTCCCTTGTCAGTAGAAGTATTGTATACCTTGCGCCGCTGTACACCCTGTGTTCAACCTCCACAGCGAGTAGTACACTAGTACACCCCATACCATTGTATGGGATTCATAGTAGTCTATGGTACACAGTAGTATGGTGTATACAAATGTATATACAAATGTATATACCATACTACATTGCACCTAAAAATGGCCTCATGGTAGTCTTGGTTTCATTTGATGCAGCTAATGGCCTATGTCATCGGCTTCACGATGAAATAAAGCTTGGAAGTGCTCGCAACGAAAAAAGGGCTACTGCATACACTTGCGGAGAAGGAGAGTTTCATGTCATCACTGCGAGTCGTGTTCAATCAGAGCAGCACTTGCTATCGGAACAATATGCCATGTGGTATCTAGCAAAGGAATTGCGAATGCATAAAGGACTTTTAATGCGAAAGCATTAACTATAGTACCATGCAGTAGTAACCGCAAAAAAAAGCGAAAGAAATGCCCGTTCTCTCATTGGTTGAGCAAAATGGCTCTTAGATAGCCATTGGTGGCCACTTCGCAAGAGTGTGCACTTGGCCGCCGCTCTCGTGTCAGGCGTTGCCCGAGAGGTGGTGGGCGGGGGGGGGGGAGGGGCTGCGGCTGCTGTAAGAGAGTGAGCACTTGGCAACCTGGCAGTAGCGAAATGTGGCCATCCATGCCAGTACACCACAGACAAACTAAGGGAGTGGAAGAACAACAGGCAAGCTTTTACATTCACAACTCATAAGAAGTGCTTAAGTGTCTTCGGAATTTCGCAGAGAACATAGCACGTGGTCGGGCGGGGAGACAGCGCGCGTGCTCTCAAAGCGTTTTTTTTTTTTTTTTTTGTAGCATCGTGTGCGGTTCATTTTGCGCACCCCAGAAAACGCAAATTCTCTTTTAACTTCTTTTTTTTGACGGTTTGGTTGCTTGGCGCCAAAGTCTGCTCGTAAAGTTTTCTCAGCGCGTGCTCTCAAAGCGCTTTTCTGTAGCATTGTGTGCAGTCCATCTTGGACGCCAGAAAGCATGGTTCTCTTTTCCTTTTTTGTTGTTATTTTTCTCTGTCGCCGACGGTCTGGCTGCTCGGCGCCAAAGTCGGCTCGTAAAGCTTTCTTTTTACGTCGTCTTTTCTTTCTCTCTTTTTTTTTTTTTTTTTTTTTTTTGTTGTGCGCAATTTTTTGGGGACGTGACTTTTATTTAGGTTGCTCTCCGGAGCATGCTTTTGGACAAGCGTTGCAACAGCACACCATCCGTGAGTACTTTGGACAATAAAAGAAAGTTTAATTTTAACCGTTTTTCTGTCCTCTTTGTAATTCAATCATTCGGATAATTCGACCAAATTTCAAGGTCCCGTCAAGGTTGAATTAACGAAAGTTTACTGTACACAGCCATTGCTTTGAAACGAAAAGGAGGCAGGCACCAAACATACTGTCGTCTTTCTCGACTTGCGACAGCACTTCGGCGGTCAGCTTCTCGGTAAAGGCGCTGCGCAGCTTGTCGTGTTTGGCTGCGACCACGAGTTCGGCGCGCTCGCTGCGCATCACGGCCGTCTTGTTAGACAGCATCTCCAGGTACTGAGGAAAAGGAGGGACGAAAGATAGTTGACCGCGACCACTGTATCGCCCAACAACGGCAAACACGGATACCATTACATATACGAAGAGGCCACAAAAAGAGTGGAACAATCTGCTACATCAGACGATGTTCAAATGTTGATCGAGACGACAAAAACATCCTGTCAATTGCTTTAGCGATAGGCCAGGGCCTCTCACTAAATTGACCAATGCTTGGACGGTTCCAGCCAATGGCCATAAGGCAGATACACTCTATGCTGCATCTGCCGCTTCTGCGTTACATATAGCTTCGACATTGGGAGCAGCCAGTGTATGTGGTAACAAGTGTGGCACTTATGCCACACTTGTTACTAAGGCGTACCGTATTTGCTCGAGTAATGGCCGCACTATTTATAAAGAAGACCCTTGCGTCTACTTTCCCACAGGACACATAGACAGTCAATCATTGCGTTGCGCGTAAATAACATAGCCAGTGATGTGATTGGCCTAAGTCGTTTTGGAGCACCTTTCGGAGCAGCCAAAACAGTGTTTTGGAGCAGCAAAAGTGGCCTTTGGAGCAGCTAAAACAGTGTTTCGGAGCACAGAAAGTGGCCTTTGGAGCAGATATTCTTGGAAAATTCCAATAATATGTGTTTTAGGTGCTGGACAAACGAAGGACACTTTGCTCACCGGAATAAACGAATTATGGTCAAGTTCGACCACCTAGGAGTCTTTTGCATTTTTTGCAAAAGACCCCTAGGTGGGTTTTGCACACATTTTGCAATGTTTCAGTTAAGAAGGAACACTGGTCTTGGAGCTTTTTTTTTCTTATTTCATGACCAAACTCATTGAAATTGTACATGCTTGTTCAGCTTATTGTGCTGATTTCATATATTTCCTCAGTCAGTAGAATTTTCCTGAGGGTAATTAAAACTTGCCTGCCTTTGTTTGGAGGAATGATATGGAAAAGCTGCTCAACAAAATATCCTTTTTAACACATGGCCAGATACCACGAAGTGTAAAGAATACAATGTTGGAAGTACTTTTAAGATAAATTAATTATTAGTGATTTCACAACATATTGAAGTTAAGTGCTCAGTGCATGGCGAACAAGTAATAAAGCAAAATATCATATAAAAAAATTTCTAGGCCTAAATTAAAAAATCTGCTTTCGACATTGTATGCTTCACACATTTAGAAACACATTTCAAGAAAGATTATATTTCTGACTGCTTTAGATGCTGAGATATCCTTTCTGCAAATTTTCAGTGAGTCCAAAATTTATGTAATGTGAAAACAATGTTTTAGAGTCAACTTAAATGCAGATTCAGCCCGCATAGACATTATAAATTGATTTATATCTCAAATACTCATCCACGAAACTAGAAGCCTGGTAGATTCAGAAGAACAACAGCCATTGCCGTTTTCAAGAGAATGCAGTTTCAGGAAGTTTTTGGCTCCGAAGACCCATGTCCCCCTTAAATGATACATATATATGTACCCACTATAGATAGATAAGAAGCAAACTTCACATATTAAAATTTATTTGAAAACCAAACTTTACATATTAAAATTTATTTGAAAATCACCAGTAGTAAATATCACAGCTATAGGTTGACTAGTGATATAATATAATAAATGGAAGCAGTCTCCGACTGATGGAACATATATATATATATATATATATAGCTACTGCAGTGCAATGCCAAATTGCACACAAGAAAAAGGTGCACTACAACTAGCGGGTACTTTTTGCTTTTCGAAACTTTCTGGAAAGCTGCTGCAAGCTTCGCTTTGGCTTAGGCTAGAAAATAATGTCCACTTTCAATGTCCCGAAAAATACATTGAGACACCTTACAAGTTTACAGTGCTGTACGCGTTGCCGAGCAATTCTGAAAAACCGCTTGCCACTGTTTTACTGATTCCCGACGTGCCAGATTTTCGTCACAAGTAAACGTAAAACAGTGGATTGCAAGCGTCCCGGCTGGTGCCTCTGTCGTGCAATCATGTTTGCATGTACGTCAGGGCAACTTCGGCAGGCTTGCAGCTGCACGTGCTTCGTCGCCCGAGCGGAGACGGCTGTTCGATCGAAACCAAAACCATGCCTCTCCGCTCTGTCGCCAACTGGTTTCCAAAAATGTATGCAAAATCTAACTGCCCAGTATGCGGCAATAAACAGTTCAGCGGCGCGTGCTTGCAAGGCCGGCAGGCGAGGTACAAGCTAAACATACAGAAAAAAAGAACCTGAGAGTATCGATGCAGGACATCGCGAGTCAGGGTCAAAACGTTCTTGGAGTGCTTTGTGCAAAGACTGAACTCGAGACAAACAAGCGCGATGTGCGGGTTCAGCGTGCAGATATTGCCTTCTTTGCTTTAGCTCACGTCTCTTCACCAACTTTCTTTCACAACAGATTTTTCATGTACTGGGTCACTCTCGAAAGAAAGCCAACCAAGAGAAACCTCGGTAATCAATACTTCCACACAGCAGTCTTCAAATCAAAAAGGGATTTTCGTAGTAGGGTATGTAATAAACAAGAATAGGAATGTTGAACATGCGGCGGTCCTTATGTTTCAGTTTAGGAAGGTCCATTACTGTAGCCACGTGCAGACTGGCCGGCAGGGGACCAAATAGTTTTCCCACGGCCGTTGCTTTCAGAAGCGAGTGTTTCAGCTCAAAAAGTAACTCCTGCCGCGCAAAAATGTAATTTCGTTTAAAAAAAAACGAAAAAAAAACAAAAAACGCGAGACTAGATTTACGAGACGACGAGAGCGCGAAAGAAGAGACGGCGGGAAAAACCATGCAAGACCAGATGGACGATTAATGTAACTAAAGCAAGGGTGCAGGCGAGCTGGTTCAATACTGACATTGGAGTTTTGTGCCTGTCCTACGTCCCTTCTTTTCCCCGGCTCCAGGGTTACAATGCCACAATTGATGCAGGGTACTTTGTGTGGGCGGCCGCCTGCGCCAGTTAACTCACGCATGCTCAATTACGGTACTCAGTTTAGTTTCGGTTTTGAAAAGCGACCAAAACTGGTCCTTTGGCGCAGGCTTGGCGCAGATTACCCATATTTTGGCAAAATGTAGCAGAATGTAGCAGGGTTAGCCCCTTGGCGCCGTTTGGCGCAATTGGCGCAGCAATCACATCACTGCATAGCGAAACAGCAGATCGAGAACACAATTCTCGATACAAATGCAATCTTCACATGTGGTTTCTTCGCACGAAGACATTATCTCTGTTCTGTAAATAGCTGGAATCATGCTGTCGATCGCGGTGATAGGCAATCTGCATACCCTACGGAAAAGCGAACCCTCAGGTTTTCTTCATAAACAGTGCGGCTATCACTCGAGTAAATACGGTAAACCAGCCTGCATGCAACTCTTGTGTTCCCGCTAATTAGGCATTACTCTGTTGGATCAATACCTGAACTACGTGCAAGCTGCAGTTGCAAGCAACTTCTTGGAAGCTTTGGGTTTCTACTAACGAAGCACTGTATTTACCGAGCAATGTTCTAACAAATGAATGAGCTGGCTATTGTTAAACAAAATCCACCCACCATGACGGGGTAGGCTCGGATCACGATACAATCCACCCTTCCCACGGCCCCTCCCTTTGGGTGCAGGGATCCGAGGGACACGCGGAAGGGCTGGCGTGCTCGAAGGTAGCCCAGCTTGGCGTCCCACCTTGCTCGACGCGTCGAGTTGAAGTTCAGCCTCAGCGCGAGTTCGTCAGGCACCTGCAAGCATCCCAGAGAGGTGCATAAGAGTATCATGCGGAATTCAAAGGGGGGTGGCAACAGACAAAAAAATATATGTGACTTTTTTCTTGTCGCGGCACGACTGAAAAGTCACACACAAGCTCACCTGAGCTGTGGCTCAGCACGGTGGAATTTGAAGAAAAGTATAATATCTAACCAGCGAGCACATTTCACTATATTAAAAGCATCAATCATAGAACACGAGCTCACGTGCAGCTAAGAATAATCAGGCACATTGCTTTCACTCAATTTTAGATCGGCTTTGGACTCGGATTTAGGGCTCGCCCCTTTGTATCAGGGGATTTCAACTAGGGGCTGGATCTAGCCACTCGTATTATTTTCCTTGATTTTCTCCCCTTGCTTCACTTTTTACAAGCACTCCAGTCTTCGTTTTGTTGCCTAAACTGGTGGGATTGTGCCGAGATTTGAGTGTGTTGCCAGCTGCTCGATCGGGGTCGTGTGTGCAATACGAGGGGCAAGAAGACAGAAGCGTTGACCGTCTTCAAGCGTTTTTGCCTTGCTCTGCCTCTCTGTTTGTTATCGTCCTTACCACGCACGCCATTTGCGAGGGAGGCATCTGCCATTAAATTGCGAAAGTTTTACATGGTTTGAGTTGCTCCCTCTCTTAAATCTAGGCGCTTTAGTTTTGATAACGTGAAGAAATAAAAAAGATCTTTCTAGCCGCAAGCACGTCGCGCCTACACACAAGCTCCACCCTGCCAGTCTCACGTGCAGGTAGGTTCAACCGACGCTGCCTGTCCCGGCACCAGGGGTGGGACAGACCAAACTGGTTTTGGAGCAACTTTTGGAGAAGAAATATCTGCATTTCGGAGCAGCTTAGGTGAAAAAAAGTCTGCGCTTTGGAGCACTAAGACTGACATTTTTTCTTCTTGGAGCAGCTTAGAGTAAACTGTGACATGCATCTCAGCCAGTTGTACCATGAGTCACAATTCAAGCAAACTAGGTTTGTACTACAAGTGTTGGAAAGTACTGAACAGAAATTTAGTGTGTAATAGCTGAAACTGCAAACAGAGAGACATTTTATTTTAGGAACAAATTTCGATTAAAAATGAGGAGGCACGACTCATGTTCATTAATGTTACATGCTACGTTGCATCATCCATTGCAGCATGAGCAATGTGACGGTACAATGGTTAGGACGTATGAATGTGCACATCGAATCCATCGTATGAATGGAGAAATGGACAATATCCGTAAACCAAGGACCCGGGCAGCGGCTTGCGCCACCTGACAATGAAATAGCTGAAGTTGACGACCGAGCTTTCACTTTCTGGTTAATCCAGCGTCACCGTGATCATTGGCGCAGCGTGGCGCAAGTTTGGTAAATTTGACGCTTTTGGCGCTGCTAGAAGCAGGAAATTGTGAATGTATCAGAATCGTGCCATTGGAGCAGTTATCCCAGCCTTGTTGCACGGAACCAGGCAACGCGAAGACATGCACTGAGCCATATTTAACTAGCAAGAACGTCTCAGCGGCACGAGCTCTAATCACGGAACAAGTGCTCATGCACAGTTGAGCTCCCTTGACATCGGCTCACGGATGAGCAAGGCGAGGATGCGCCAAGAAGTTCTTAACCAGCAACTGCTTGTACCTACGGTCCGTTACAGGACAGCAGGACAAGCTCATTTCACAAAGCCCTCCACTCTTTCCACTTTAGCGGAGTGAAAGCTGAAGTGGAGAGAAGAAAATCACCCATCATGACAAGTGGTTAGGTCTGCGACAGGGGCGCGTGCAGCTTTCCTTAACCTGCAACAAACCGTAGGTCTGTTGCAGGTTAAAAACGCTGTAGCGTTAACGCCGGGGCGTAGCTCAGGGTTAACACGTCCGCTTCACAAGCAGCAGACCCGGGTTCGAGTCCCACGGGCGGCGAGCAATCTTTTTTAAAGATTTTGCAACATCGACGACGGACGCCCTGCATCGCCAACTACTACAACTACAACACCAACAACGGACATCATTTCCAGTGGTGAGGAGAGCCCGTAAGAGCCATCGCTGCGAAACAAATCGACCGAAAGACAGCCAACCTACAGGTCGCGAGTGTTGCAATTCTCAAGCAGGAAATATCTAACCTCGAGCGGAGCGCAGGCGTCCGTAGATCCGACAATGTCCGCTCCCGAAGTGATCAGCTTCTGCCCCACAAAGATTCGGTTCTCGAACACCAGTTTGGACAGCGGCTCGTCAAACTCGGCCCGGAGTCCGTACCATCCGTCTGTGACCTCCACCCTCAGAGCCTGGACAAATTCAGACGAATCAACACAGGATTCAATCACAGCCAGAGCCCTTTGTAACTAAGTCGAATGACAATTGTTACAACGTTCAGAGCATCCTTCTGAGGGCCATAAGGACTGTAAATAATTTTTTTATTTATTTATGAATACTGTTCAACCCAAGTATGGGGCTTTAACAGGTGTGGGGTATAAAAAGAATGCTCAAACATACAACATCAGAACTACAATACAGTAGGCATTCAGCGACATCTACTTATAATAAAGGGGCTGAAATACAGTCTAAGCTCATTAAAATAGACCTTAATTTTTACCAAGATTTCGGTCTCTTGTAAAAGGAGTATGTCGTATGCAGATATGAAGTGGAGTCAGTGGTACATAGAGGAAAAACAACCAAACTTCATAAATCAATATGTTATATCCAAATGTCTGTTGTCACCAGGACTGTTGTAATGAGCTTAGACTGTAGCGCAAATATTCAATATATTATCTAACACTGAACAAAATAAATTCTCAGCATTCAACATCCATTACTTAGGAAAAAATATTAGAACTACAATTTGTCGGGCTATCTTACACATATTCAGATGTTCTTCTGAAGGTAACAAAGATAGCAAATCTAACTATTTACAGTAGACTCAGACTTTGATAGGTGGAACTCCACGACATGTTTGTTTAATTCCCCAAGTCTTTGGGTGGTCATTTTGTCTCGCGATACCGACGGAAACTTCCGACATGTGGATCTTAACAATTGAAATTTTTGCTAAATGGTATATAGGTTTTTGTCCATTCACTTTGGATTCTCGCTGGGAAAGGTTTAGTTTTAGGTGGTGCAGATAGCAATTGAACTTAAAGTGAGATCTGTGCTGTGACTTTCAGCATGTGAAGCACAACGCTTACCATTCCACTTCTAGGCCACCTCAAAATTTTCTGGGTTCACTCCAGTTGGAAGTGAGATGAGAGCTTAACCATCACAAGACAATTTGCGAACAAGAACACCGACAACTGTGTTCAGACATTAAACAAGAGTAGGCAAAATGAAGACACTAATTAGCCTTTTTAAAATTTTAATTTCCAACCAGTTCATGTCTGCGAAAAGCATTGTTACCTGTACAGCAGTTTGCACAAAACAAGTGATACCAAAAGAGTAGAGGTGTGCGAATATCAAAATCTTTCGAAGCAAATCTAATCGAATAGTAAAAGTTGTGAATCAGATCGAATCGAATAATTTCAGATGCGAATAGTTTCGAATACGAATATTTTTTATTAGTACAAATATTTTCTATTTGATGTGAATTAAATGAGGACACTCAATCAAAACACGACTGGGACTTTTTTTTTTTTTTTTCTTAGCAAACATAATTATGAAAAGGTTAACTTTATTGCAAAAAGAAAAATGTCACACATGTGACTAATAAAAAAACGGATCATATAAAAAGATCAGCCAAGAAAACACCATTCAAGGAGTGAAATTACAGAACATAAACGAAGGTACACAAGCGGAGGCGGTTCGCCAGTCGGAGATCCCGTCGTAGACCCGTCGCATACAAACGCAACCACCTGAACGTAAAGCGCGGTCCAAACCAACGTGCCAAACAGGAGGAAACGGGTTTTGGAGAAATCCGGTGCAAGAAGAATGGTGTCAGTGGTCACGTGAACTTGACGTTTTGCGGCTCCCGCTTTGTGAGTCAACAGTTGAAAATATTCATCTTTTTCCAGACCCGGAGTAGCACAACAGGCCCTCGGCAGGGTGCGCTTCATGGGCTGCGGCACCCCACACCTCCGCCAGAAGTGTTACAGATGACAAGAGCAGAAGAGGAGAAAATCCTGCTTCAAACTGAAAGTTTAATGGGCAAACTTGTGCCAAACAAAATAAAGTATGAGCGTGAAGACAGCAGAAAAGAGGGCGGTGATTTGGCAGCGTAACAGCATGCGAGAGTGAGACTGACTCGACAAGATCCAGCACAGCTCCTTATGTAGTGTGCGTGAGCACCTTGAAAATTCGGCCCAGAAGGTTCGAGCGTCGAACGTTCAGGGTGAGAATGAACAGGCACTTTCGAGAGCAAGAAAGTAGAACGAAATAATAAAAGTTACATCCGAGCAAGAATAAACACAACTTTTCTAGAAGTCCGTAAATGAGCGTTGCTTGCTTGGCCCTCTGCAAGGAATTATATAAAAACCGTGACTGAGAGTTGCTTGCTTGGGCCTGCACGCAGCAATATCACCGATAGCTGAGTCGATCGTAAATCCATATGCGAATTCACAGCACCTTTTCTACTGTAGTGACGGTTAGTGACTAATCCGTGGCATTTGCGCTCACGACGATACACGTGCCATTGCAAATCGTAGTCCTTCATCAAATCTATCGCAGCAATGGCCCCGGTCATGTTTGCACCACGACCACTTCGCCAACACCACAATAAAGACATCACGGCAAGCGAAGGGCAGATCGCGCTGGCGCATGCAAATAACTTTCCACTGCTCTATACAAAAGAAAAAGGCACTTAGGTTGGCCTTTTGGGTTCGCCAAGATCGAAAGCATACTGCACAGTCCAAAAACAAACTAGGAACGAGACCACGAGTTGAGACAAATCAGCAAGTTCTGCATTATTCATAGTTTTCGAATATTCAAAAACTCGAATACTTAAAACAGCAAAAGTGTGAAGCAAATTGAATAGCAAGCACTATTCACAAAGTATTCAAAGTTTTGCATATTCGCACACCTCTAAAAAAGAGCATTCATATGAACACTCCCCTAGGCTACGCCAGCTTTTGCAACCCATGATCAACGTTTTGCTGAATAACAGTTATCGTAAAGCCTGAAGCAGGAAGAACCTTGATCTGTCCTTTCATTTAAATAAAAACAAATCAAAAATGTTTTGGCAAAAAAAGAAAGAAACAATAAATATAAAACATGACGCAATTTCAGCGGCTTACGTTTTCTTCTCGACTGATCCCAGACACGCACAGGATCAGGGTGCCGCTTGCAATGTCGTCCCTCTCAAGGATCTTTCGAAGGGCTGACCTGAAAATTGCAACGAGGGAGGTCACCACTCCAAAAAGGCCCCCGAAGGCAGTTGAGTACTACTAAGTACAGGTGTCATAAGGCAACCTAGCTTAGTACTAACAACTGCAGCAATGCTACATGGCAATATTCTATTAAAATCCTAGTCGTAACTAGGGTTCGGTGTTCTTGGCACATTCCCAAAAATTACCTGCCAAGACTTTTATAATAATCAGGAAAACCGCAAAACCTTGAATCGGAGCTCATCTCGAATAAGAAAACACCAGCTTAGCTGGCAAAAATCTTCAACTACAGCTCTCTTTTTGCGTCGACTCATAACACAGCCAGCACCAAACTGTTTGCAAGGCTGCTTCTATCTTCAAGAAACAGATTTTTATCTCGTTTCCCTACCTTATCGCTGCCGGGACAATTTCCAGGCATCCGGACTGCCTGTATGCTTCCTAGGGATTGGAGTATTCTACACACATGTCCTGTTTTCTTCAACAGAAGCTCCAATGAACCCAGATTTTTTAAATGCAGGATTTCCAAGCAGCATGAACCCCAAAAGAAAAACAAACAAACAAAAATACCCCCGAATCCAAAGAAAAATTAACCCCGAAAACAAGGAATCATAGCTAAAACACAGAATAGTTAGTGGAAAAAAAAAAAAAAAGTGCACACTCAAGGTTTTGAAAATCATTGTTTCCTTGAAGAGTGCAGCACAATAACAAAGAAGTTTGTACCTGGTGCTGTGGTCGATCTCGACGTCGTACCTGTACTTCATTTGGAGCATGACGTTGTCGGGCGTCAAGGACCTAACGACAAAATGGAGGGGTGACGGACATCTGTGAAAACGAGACCAACATACCGTAATATCCCTAGTCATCACCAACCCCCCTGCCACCTGAGATTCATAAAAAAAAGTGGGGTGGGCCATGTTTTGGTGGGTAAATACAAAAGCTAAAAAAAACACCAATTTTTTTTTTTACATTTTTGGTGCAGCTGCACAAGAGATACATTAAACTCAAAATTCGAATTAGTTTTATTGTCTTATGCAAGAAATGCTCACGAAAGAACGTCTGGCTATAGCAAAGTCCGTTGCTTTTATACGTGCCATGAACATCGCTGATCAGCATACAGCGTGAACGTTTGTTCCATGAAAGCACGTTTCTAACTATGCTATGTTCTATCCCCATGTTCTCTTCATTAGAAATTTAAAAAGAATGAAGCAAGAAAAAAGCAAGAGCGAGCGGCCGAAAGAAGCGAGGAAGAGTGATGCTGGAGGAAGCGGGCAAGGCGGCGATCGCGTTGGAAAATACTTTGGCGTCGGGCCAAGTTGGGCGCCTTGTCAATCCAAGGAGCAACCAGGCTCTTGTGCAACTTGTTTCGTGCATACATGCGTGCGTCTGTATGTGTGCGACATGCTATCAATACGGGTTGAGGCGCTGTTGCTGCGTGGCGTGGACAGCACCACGAACGTGGAGTTCGAAACGGGACGCTTTACAAACGTCTGTGCGGCATTCCACCAAATCTTTATTTACCCGTTGGCTTTGTCTCAAACATTGCACAACCTCGCCAACTGCAGTCACTATGTTGTGGGAGAAGGACTAGGTTCGCGGTGATTTCGGAGGAGACATACTTCGACCTTACACTCCGCAGTTCTATTCCAGTGTATGCGGCGTTCGCTGACCTTGCAATCTCTGAATGGGCTAATGCTTCAGTTATTTTCCCAATTTTGTTTTTGTCCGAACCAGATTTTTTATAAGCAAAACGAAGTTTCATTTTGTTATCTCCATTGTTTTTCTTTCGTTCACAAGTACACTAACTTCGGGGTCGCGGGAATCGGGGAGGAAATGCGTGAACAAAGTAAAGTGTCCTTCCCTCCTTCGTTTTACTTTGTCACGGACGTCCTCAAACCGTAAGGTCCGCGGCTGCGTCATACAGGTAGGATGATTGTTCGCGGATCGCGGAGTCTGCATTGGGGTATTTGTAGGGGTGGGCAATCACTCGGTGTTATTTTGGAAATCAATATTCGCACTAAAAGTGGGGTGCGCGATGACTCGGAATATTACAGAAGAAGCATGGCGGCCACTGCTTGAGCAAAACACTAAGCTTCAAAGCACGATAGTATTTTTTTGCCGGTTCAAGCTTGAAAAATCTACAATTTCGTCTAATTTGGACACACCCTATATACCGGTTGGTTTCAATTCGTAACAGCAAACTTTTTATTACTGCTCCGTTAGCCAACGAGATTGTGGCATTAGAAGGTAACAATGCAGAAGAATGAATCATGAAGCAAATATAAACATGAACGTGCCACAACATGCGTTCCTTAGGCCATCAGTGACTAGAATAAAATAAACATTGATATTGAAGTTCAGCATGCTACAGTCTAACTCATTTATAACAAACTCAAATATAGCGAATGTTTGTTTATACTGAACACCCAAACTTTTCAAATAAAAATGCATGTAAGAACTACTTTTTATAAAAAAACAGATGAATGGCTATATCAAACTTTGTCACCATGAGAAGCCTTTCAAAAATTGCACAAATGCCCGTCTCCCAACATGTCCCTTCTAAAAAAAACAAAAAACAATGTTGGAACGAAAGAAAAACTTCCAAACCACAAGCCGCAAACGAAGGTAGCATAGCCAGACATACAGAAGGGGAGATAAGAGAGATAGGCTGAAAGGGCTGACTCGAAGCACCCTTGGGAGGGTGGGGATTCCCCAACATCCTGTTCTCCTTTCTTAAACGATCCGAACCGCTGCAGGACCTAAAATCACACCCCCCTCCCCAAGCACCAAGCGAACTGCATGGCAAGATTCAACAGCCGCGACCTGTCTGCTGGCGTAAACCGGCATTTCCAAACTCGTGAGACGCGCAATTGTTTTTCTCTTTGCCATCCATCTTGAAGCTTGCCGTAAAATACCGCGGAAGCACCCACTTCGTTCAAGGCCCCACTGTTAACCTGTTAAAAATTCAGGAATTCTGCAAATTATATGTTAAGCATCCGATTTGACCGGACAAGTGCCTATGTCTAGATAAATCCAACTTTCAGTGAAAGCGGGGTAGGCGCTTCTCTGGTATTTTACGGTAGTCGACTAGCACCTGTTTCCATGCACGCTTGGTTGGCAGCTTACTTTTTTGTTTGAACGCAGTGTGCGTAAATACATGTGCACGGCGTTCTAAAACCCGCCTACCTCTTTTGCAGCAATGCAGACTCCGCAACACAATAAGTTAATTTGCCTCTGCGCCCCTTTAAACAAGCGGAAGCTTGCACCCTTCAGCGTCATCAGGGACAAGCTAAGGGGAACAGACTTGTCAATGATGTCTCTTATCTTCATTTTTCGTTGAAAAGCTGAGTGTAATTTTTGATAGCTGCACGGCCGCATTAGGCACGTTGTGGACTTTTTAGGGTCCACTTGCTTACGGTGGTGTGCCGAAAGGTAAAGCACATGCGGCGCGTGCTGTGCTTCGTTTTCTTTACCGGTGATCTCGGTTTGCAGCACTTCTGTAAGCACCGCTCTTTTTCGTTTCGAGCTTCTGCCCGCACTAGGAGTAACACATTTGTGCACAATCCAACAGTTTTTCTTCTGATTTCGGCATCTTGAAAGAAAAATTATGTCTCTTTATTGTTATGCAACTCTAAGCCCAGACAGAAAGACATAGGTATATCCAAACATTTCAGGCTCGGTCCAGACCGGCACGCATTTCATTGTTTCCCAAGCAGCAAGAGAATGAATGATTTCCACTCCGCCCCCCCCCTCGCGCAAGTTTGGGTACTCCGATTAGGAGGACGTTCTTGCGGAATTAACTGTTGTACAAAAGTTGCCTATTATCCTATCTATAAGCCCGCCAATAACGTTAGTTAGTTTTTTTGTTTTTTTTTTTTCAGATTGTAGACTTTTTGTGGGACACCAAAAGGACATGTAACAAGTAGTGTATATCGTACATTCTGCGCTACATTGTGTATTTCTAACTCCCATTCTTGAAATTCGCTTTATACGAGTTTTGATACAACGAACTGCCCGCTATATGGAACTAATTATTCTGTCCGACGGAGGCTGTTATAAACAGGTTTGACTATACACCTAGCTACCAGACTTTGCTTCGAATTCTGCATTTTTACGACATCTAGACAATGCCTTTTTGGGCCTACGGTATTTGTCAGAAGCCTGCAGGTGCCCTGAGGCATTTTCACGATTAATAATATAAACTGCGAGAACCGTAAAAACAAAGACAAAGAGGGAAAGAAAAAAAAAACCTTTCAGCCTTTCTACTCTGGTGAAGAAGGAAGAGCAGCGGAGCCGTACTATGTACAGCCATCTATAAGCGACAGCGGCAACCAGACAACCAGCAAGCCAGTTGTCTGGTTGCCGCCATCGCTCATAGATGGTGATAGCTGTCCAGAGGGTTGTATCGAGATTGTCCACGGACACGAAACTGGGGAAACTTGCCCCCACCGTAAAAAAAGGTGCCTCTCACCTCCCCGCAAAGACGTGTGGACCGTGTTGTTCCAAGGAGGCCAGTTTCCAGACGATCCACCGGTAATGGTTGTCGAACCACTCCCGAGATATCAGGCTCGAATCCACGCCCGGAACACCCAAGAACGCGCTAAAGTAAAAAGTTTAAAAAAGAATCACAATCGCTATCATAAAAAGCTATCGTCGCAATAGCAGCGACAGCCGCTATTGCGGTTAAGAACACTGACGTTTATACAGATCCACTCTTTATTTACTCAATCACACAGAACACAGGCCAGTGGTCACTGAAGCCTGTAGGAAAGCAAACACACTACACACATGAATCAATATCACTGCCTAAGCCTATAGCTCGAGACAGGTAGCGTTACAAGTGGTAAGTTGCTTTACATTCAATGTTAAACATAAATCAAGCTTTATGGAGAGGTAGGTGTAGCACCATTCCCCGCAAACCGTAGAAGACACCGCCGCCTGGCAAGAGCCAAGAGCGCCCGCTTCGCATGGCGCCACGGGCAGTGCACGCTTCAGCGCACGTGAAACAGTGTTCTGCCTGGCACAATGACGCCGCCAAGAATGCAGCTGGGAATCCCCTGTAACAGCTATAGTTGTAAAAAAAATTGTAGAGCCCTTCCACTTCACATGAAAATGGAGGACCAGCGAAGCTGTTATCTTCACGACGTCTAGGACGATGCCTAGAGGACAGCCTCTAGGAGGACCTCAAGGACAACTTCTAGGACGCCGCCTAGAGGACGACCTCTCGGACAACGTCAAGGACGACTTCTAGGACGATTTCGAGGACGACTTCTAGGACGATCTCGAGGATGACGCCTAGGACGACCCCTCGGACGACTTCTAGGACAATCTCTAGGACGATGCCTAGAGATGATAACAAGGGATCAGGACCTCACTATCTAATGATGCCAAGGAAGGCTGACTCACGCTGGTTGCCCCCCCTTTTCGTTTGTATTTATTCATACTTGACTACTCTTTTTCTTTTTATTTATTCATACTTGCCACAACCAATGGGGAGTTTTCTGTCGATATGTGAGGATGCATTTTTTCCCCGACCCTAGCATATAACAGCTTCGCTGTAAAAAAAAAAAAAGGATGACGAAGGCAAGGAGATGAGAAACTTCAGACTTCTAACGTACTTAGCAAACCAGTATCTCCACTACTGTACTCAATCTTACAAACATCTGCAGTGCTGACAAAGGCATGGGAACAAGCAAGTGACTTTGAAAAAGTGCTTTCCATGCACAAGTTCTCTCACAACCTGAAGCACTCTGCCGAGCTAGGCTCAGGTGCGTGTGCTTTTGTTTTTACTGCAGACATTTGTAAAATAAAACATATTATGCAAGTGCTTAAAAAAAAAAAAAGATGGCATAGTGTGATGTTCTGAAACAGCTGCTGTAAACCGTGTGTGGTGGATCGCCAGAAATCTGTGTCCCAGTGACTTATGTCACTGAAAGGTGCAAGTAAATCCGGCTTTGAATAACTGTAAATGACTTAATTTTTGAGAGAACCTAATTTTTGCAAATTTCATGATTCGCCTTCAATTTGCGAAAAATAGGTCCCCCGTACAATTCCGGTAAAATGTAAATACATTGGAATCTATATTGAGATCCCGCCGCGTCGCCAAAATTAGAACCCGCGTATTTAAAAACTTAAGCTTTGACCTAAATTGCAAAAGACTGAGCCCACGAAAAATAAGTCATTTACAATATTTCTTTTTCCAGACTGCTACTCAGTCGGTCGCTCGCTCCGTTTAAGATCTTGTTGCCCACCTGTAAAGTTCGCTCTTGCCCAGCCTAGATTGACCTGGCGAGGGCTGCACCGTCGCGCCGTCTCCCAAAATGATGAGCGCATCGGGAGGGGGAGCGGAGAACTCAAAATTCACCGCAGAGATGGAGTTGACGGAAGCAGTGACGCCCGATACACCAAAGGCCGCAAGCTGGAAGACAAAGCGGTCTCTTTCAGATACAAGCAACTCGACCGGTAATATACTGCTCGTGGAAGATTTTTGTTGACCAAAGAATGGTCAAAGCGACGGCTGTTGGCACAGCAGCTTATGTATCAGATGTGCCACATCAGCGCTCAGCTTCGAGTCAAGTTTGAACTTTGAGCCAAACGTTAACGTAATCGTTGTGTCCCTTCTCGCCCAGCATTGGCCTTCTCTGATGACGCCATGTTATTCAGCACTACTGCTTTGTTATCTAGGAGGTGTAGTGTCGCGACATGGCAGAATGTGGGCGCAGTGGCGTCACCAGCATCAGCAGCACCCGAGGTGGCAGCCTGCCACGACCCATCCCCTCCCCTTTCACTGCCCAGGTGCACCATGAGCTCTACACCCGGGGCGGTCCGCCCCCCCCACCCTGCCCTTATGCGTGCGTGCAGTTGCTGCTCTGCCATTGCCGGTTGTGCTTCACTCGGAGTTTCCGTAGTAGCGGTACATGGGCTGTGATGTGTGCGTGCAGTTAAAATGATAGACGCTGTTCCCTCCACGAGTAATATGGACGCGGTTCCTTCCACGAGCGGTATGGATGTGGTTCTTTCCACGAGTGGTATGGACAACCGTATCCAAGGGCGTCGACGTACACTGACAGGCAGAGTACAAAAAAGGGGTGAAAAAATTGCAGGAAGGTCCATCGGTGAATTGTTATCAAATTCGTTAGCATGACCCATGGGAAACGCTACATGCGTCCTCCTGTAGGAAACACTAACACTCACAGTTACACTCTCCAGGCATTCTGCTGCATATCTAGTGAAGAAAAATGTTGGGCACTACATTAGTTTTCAAAGTATGGTTTTTCTAATACAATGTCAGCATGTTCCTGATGAAACTGACTATACCGTATTTACTCGCAGAATGAACACACTTTTTTTCCCGAAAAATCAATGCAAAGTTGGGGGGGAGGGGGGGGGGGGGGCGTTCATTACGCCAAGTAAAATTTTTGGGTCCGTATTTATTTACTCGTATTTACTCGCATAATGGACCTTTTATCCTGAAAAATCAAAGTAACTTCTAATCTCTTTGCGCGCGGCGCCCGACCCAGTAACCAAACTAAACTGTGCAAAAAAAAAAAAAAAAACTCGTTTTTTTTTCCTATTTCCTTGGGTTTTTTTTTTTTTTTTTTGCCCCCTTTCGCAAGTTGTTTTGTTTGCTTAGGCGTTGCTTAGGCGAGGGCTCTCCGCTTATCTTTCTTATCTCCTTGCGCGCGACGCACGACCCCCGGTAACCAAACTGCGCTGTGCAAAAAGAAAAAAAAGCTCCTTTTTTTCTTTTGTTTTTTTCTCAATTCCGTTTTTTTTTTTTTTTTTTTTTCTTTTTGCCGCCTTTCGCAAGCTGTTTCGTTTGCTTAGAGGGCTTCTCAGCTCCTCTTTCTTACCTCCTTGCGCTCGGCGCGCGACCCCCGTAACCAAACTGCGCTGTGCAAAAAAAAAAAAAAGAGGAAAAAAAGCTTTTTGTTTGTTTTCTTAGTTCCGTGTTTTTTTTTTTTTTTTTCTTTTTGCCGCCTGTCGCAAGCTGTTTCGTTCGCTTAGAGCGCTTCTACCTTCTCCGCTTCTACCTCCATTGTGCAAAAATAAAAAAAAGCTCCTCTTCATGTTTTTTTTTTTCTTGCTTCCGTTGGATCTTTGCACATTTTTTTAACGCCTTTTGCAAGGCATTTTGTTCGCCCACGCTGCCCATGCATTCGCGACCTCGCTGCACCAGGATAGAAAAGTGCGTTCATTTCGCGCGCGTGGGGGGAGGGGGTCAAAATTTTGACGTCCGAGTTGGGGGTGCGTTTATTACACGAGTGAAAAAAAGTCGAAATTTTGAGAGCCGACTTGGGGGGTGCGTTCATTACGCGAGTGCGTTCATTACGCGAGTGCGTTCATTGTGCGAGTAAATACGGTACTTCATTTCACAATTCATGTAAACAAATGAAACTTTGCACTGCATCCTGTCTTGCATATGCCAGTGTATACTGCGAATTTCAATCATAATAAGCCAAAGGTTCCAATGTTGACCCTTTTTTCCACTCTTAACTTATCAATCAATCAATTAATCAATCAATCTTTATTTGCACAAGAAATTAGAACACGGGAAGCGTGTGCCACTGGCAGAAAGGTCATGAAACCCGTACGCTGTAGAAACCTTTTGCCTATAATGTACCATATTTGGCGACCTGCAAGAGCTAAGGGTTGTCAGAATGCTGTCTCCACAACAATAAATTCAACCAAGTTATGGTGACAACTGATAGACCATGATCGCAACCTAATATTTGTGAACTGTCAAAGCACAGCGGGCCGAGGCAACGAAATTAGTGCTAACAAACCGGCATCAAAACACTTACAGCTCGTTACTGCAGCACTTCCGTCGCTTATAGATGGCGGTGGCTGTCCCGGCAGGTTTGTGTCGACATACCGGACACGATCCTGGGGAACCTAGCCCCTAACAGCTCCGCTGTAAAGACTCACCTCTTCACAACTGTAAAACCTTGGGGCATTGCCTTCAAACGCCTCTTTCAGCGAAATCCTGTCCTTTTTCAGTACTCGCCGCATGATCCACAGTTTCCCCGGCTGGATCTGACTCTTGCGGAACAAGCTCCGCGGTGGCGCAACAGTCGTCTTGGCTGCCACCGTCGGGGTCTGGGGCTTCCCGACGGCTTTGAAGGGCGTCACGAAACTCGGAGCTCGGGCGACGCCCTTCAGCCTTGACTTAAACATGGCCGACGCGGATTGTGGAGTCCGCTGGGCTTCTGAAGCGATGCCGGGCGACGAGTTGGCAACCAGACCGTTTGCAAGTCTTTGAGGTGTACCTTGTGCGACGCTCAAACAAGACACCGACGCCAACGGTGGCGCCGAAAGCCGCCCGCGAATGTCTTGCTGGCGAAGGGCGTCTGGCATCTCTTCTAGGTCGTCAAGACTCGCGTTCTTGGTGCTGGCGCCCAGCACCCTAGATGCAGCATCAAGTGAATCGGAATGCACCGACGCCGGCTTTCCGGTGCATGTCGTGAAACCGGTGACGACGTCGCTGCGTGCGGCAACATCAGACTTTCCATTTGGCAGGCCGTCAAAAGAGGCGACTTCTTTCGTGACGTCGTGAAGAAGACCTTGCGCGGTGGTGAGGGAATCGCGTGCCACCGTCACCACACGACCTGAACAGGTCTTAAAACCGGTCGCAACATGATTCGTTGCCTCGGCAACCCCTACTTTTGCAGGTTTGGAACGGCTCTCGCAAACCTTGGTTGAAGCAACGTTGCCAAAGTGGGTCTTTTCAGCTTCACCAGAGAGAGAAGCAACTTTCTGTAAGGAATCGGACGACACAGATACAGCGGTCCCCGATCCGGCGGTGAAAGAGGTAGAGATGGTGCGAGCTGCGTCTCCGCAGCACGCTTCGAGACGTTTGTCTCGAAACAATTTGCAAGCGCGGCTTAGCGACTCCTCTGGAATGCAGACCTGCCTCCCACCAGCAGTTTTGAATCCGGATACGGAAGAACTGACCTTAAGGTCATCAGTCAAAGTCGTGTTTCCAACGTCGGCTTTCTGCGTTTCGTTGAAGAGAAGCGCAACCTTCCGCAACGAATCAAATGACGCAGAGGCGGTGTCCCCCGATTCAGTTGTGGAAGACGTGAAGGCGTTTCGCTCTGCATCTTTGCAGCGTGTTTGCGGGCATTCGTCTTCAAATAGTCTGGAAGCATGGTTTAGCGGCGTTTTTTTAATGCAGACTGGCATGTCACCAGCAGTTTGGAATTCAGATACAAAAGAAGCTTGCTCGGGCCCGCTGTTGGCAAGGACACCACGCTCAGCTGCCGTCAATCCCTCCAATGCACTGACTTCTGATAATGCGCCGTCTTCCCCATTCATCTTTTGGTCGCCGGGAAACTTGCAGGCGCTGTGAAGCATACGCTGCCCCACAGTTACCGTACGTCCATTGCCTGTTGTGAATCCTGTCGTGACTAATATATTTTCGCACAATTCCACCCCCTGATCTTTTGATGCCAACTCCGAGAGGACGTTCTTTGCAGCAGATAGAGACTTCTTGAGGACACTGACAGCAGCACCCCTGCCCGTTGTGAATCCGGTAGGAATCCTCTCGGCACTTTCTGAAGACAGCGTTGCTGGGGGAAGTTGGATTGGGTCAGACTTCTTCACGACCCGATTTGTGATGTCTCGGAACAGTGCCTTTGATTCAAACTGCCCATTGGCTGGGACTGATGCTGAGGGCACGTCCCAAAGATGGCTAGATTCTGAGACATTAACACTGTCAACACCATGAAGTAGCCGTTCTCCAAAAGCCAGAGCAGATGCTGCCACAGTCACAGATTGACCCCCGGCTGTTGTAAAACCAGTCGTCACGTAGCCCTTGTCCTGTGGTGCATCGTTCTGGACTACAAGATTGTTCTTGAAAGGTGTGGCACCTGGTCTGAGGGAATCTAGAGGTACAGAAGCCCTCTTCCCACCAGCACTTACGGCCGAACGCTTCTCCTCCTCGATTGGATGACCCCCAACATCCAACAGTAAACACTGCGCAGCGTTGAGCGACTTGGACAACACTGTGACCACCTTCCCAGATCCCGTCGTGAAGCCCGTCGGAATCTTCGGCGCGACATCCTCTGCAATGACCTCGATGACTTCATCAGAACAGACGCTGTGGGACGCTTGAGCTTTGGCGGTTGACGGCAGATAGATTGCCTTCGGAACTGGGACCGCTGTCAAGCTTTGGAGTGCAACCTGCGACGGCGGTACGTCTGCCGCAACTTTCTTGGCCCGCTTTGTGCTGTCCATGCCCAGGAGGCATCCCAAGATGCCCTCTGACGAAACTGCAGCTTCTGAAGGCTCGGACTGCGTAAATCCGACGTCTGGAGCTTCAAGACAGGCCATCGTGCTTTCTGCCACCTCCACCATCTGCGTGAAAGAGTATCCGACCTTGAGGAAGTCGTTCTGCGACTTGGCGAAGGCGAGGTCCATCCTGCTCTCTTCCGAAGTGGAGCCGTCTCTGAGGCTCTCACCGGCGGACCCTGCGCAGACGCTTTCCGCCACCAGCTCGAGTTTTCCCGGTCTGCCGAGATTCGCAGCCGAGTGAAGCGGAACAGGGCCTCTCGGGTCACCCATGAGCTTCCTCCTTGCGGTAGCGCTGCGGCGTCTCGCGGGTGGAGAGCCGGAGGCTTGCGACGATGTAGCTACGTCCACGGTCAATATGTTACTTGAATCTCGTGCGTCAATATCCACGATTAAAGGAATGTCAACGACACTTTGGTCAACAAACATGTCTGCTTTCGTATGCGCATCGATGTCTTCTGTTTTGTTGTCGTTGTCGACGAAGATCTGTGAGCTAGATGGCGTGACACAAGGGCTCGGTAACTGCGGCAAAGCTTGCTCGGATCGGTCTTCAGCCATACTTAGGCTTTCAAGCAGTTCCTGTTCATCCCAGTTGCCCTGTTGGATGCAGCGGGCAAGAGCTTCGACGGGAAGACGTTTAGGTTCCGTGCGCGAGGCTTGAGGAGTCACGCCGTCACCGAAGCATGAGCTTGGCGGCTTTTGACGCGGCACCTCGTCATCTTCGTCGCCGTAAGGAATATCTTTGGGCTTGCCTTCCGGCACGTCTTCCATTTCGGACGAGTAACTACGAAAGCTTGCCGTGGACGAACGGAACAGGCTCCGTGGTGCGAGGTGCTGCGTGAGAACGGTAAGATGAGACAGCATTAAAGAATGGACAAGCAAATACATAGTACGTTCTTGCAACAGCATACAGTGTGCAAGTCAACCAAAACGTCCAAGAGAGGAGGCATGGTAAGGAGTGATCTCGTGTTCAAGGGAGCAGATGACATTTTGGCTGCGCTTTCGTCATTTAAAGATGCGCATCTGGTAGTTGTTAGTCAGCAAATATAACACACTTTTTGAGGTACCATTTCTTCTGTCCTTTCTCAAAGGCTAAGTCTTCACTCATAAAAAACCGGCAGATTTCCAAAAGTAGTAAGACGGCCGTTGCTAGGGCCAGCAGATGACGGTTTTGCTCGTCATGATTGGAAGGACAAAGTGGGCAGAGTCAAAGGCAGCTAAATGCCAAATGAAAGATGTCCTGTTCCCGTCCTCGTCCTCTGTTTTATTCTTTCAAGATTTGTATCTATTAACCAACACGCTCATTTTCAAATGTAGCAGCTAACCTATGTGCCTACCCACTATGTCCTCCAATCAGATTTCAGTGCTATGACATCACTGTGCTCACTGCACAAGAAGTAGAAAAACTTGCTCGCCGTATACATAGGTGCGAAACATAAATTTTGACTATGGTAGAGCTTAAAAGTAACAAAACTTCAAGGATTCAGGGTCGTTCAAATACGATCTTGAACAAAGATAGTTGGGAGGCAGCTGTGCTAGACGCATTGAAGGCACCTAAGCAGTACTAATACAATCTGGATTACAGTTAGGAGAAAGGTAAGCGCAAAGCTGTCTAGGAGCTACCTAATCCCCAGAGGTCTTTGAGTTAAGGCCTTTGAACTTCCACTTCACCTGGTTATTATAAAGAGCTTTGATATAATAGCAGAAATTTTTTGTGTTGTGTCACTTAGTACTTGCCGGCTAAAGCTTTAGCTTTAAAAAGACCTCGATCGTCGCTCCAAAAGAGCAAACAAAAAGTTGCTTAGTCCCAGAATGTGGAAAAATATGAAATATAAATGGATCAATATAAAAACATTTCCCTGTTCTTTCCGTAAGAGAATGCTCGGAGGCTTTCTGTTTGAGCACCTTGACTTCGGCCAGCTTCACCAAAGTGAGATATCAGCTTCACAGTGTAATGTCCAACTAAGACATGCCTGGTGAATAGATGCAACACAATCAAATCACTTACCAAGTTGTCATCCTTTCTGATATCCATGTCCTTCTTTTCACCTACAAGTATAAAGAGAGAACATATAAACCAACTGCACTCCCTGATGTCTCGCCACTGCGGTGGCGCTGCTGTCAGCAATGCGCATTAGACAGTCTAGGTTGTAGAGAGGGTTCATTTCAAACAAAGAGGGGCATCTGCAATTTAATGGCAGATGCATCCTGCAGAGATTGGTCGTAAGTGCACATGCACTGAGTTGCCGCGTGGTGAGAAGGAAAGCGAGCGGAAAGGCCGAGACGCTTACAGGCGACCATAGCGTTTGTCACCTCCTCGCAGTTTGTGCTGCCAACAAACCATGGGACAACAATCGAGCAGTTAGAAATCCTCTGTAACACAGACTCTGAAATGCGCATGTGCAGAAGCTTCACCTAACGCCAATCTGGTTGTGCCTGCGCAGTGACCACACCAGGTATGGGCAAGTGCAGGTTTGCTTGTAAAAGGTATGTCAGCATACAAAGTGCTGGAGCTCATGACAAGGCACGTTTTTTTCTGTTGCCAAGTGTCACAAAGTTCCCCAACTCCTTCTGCTACTTCCCCAGATTCCCTAGAAATTTCACGGCAGGGCGCCTAGGTTTTCTAGTAGGTAGGCCCACTGGCACTCACTGGAATGTCCATTCGGCGGGGTTTGAAGCGACGGCGACCATTGCGGACTGGGTCCGGCTGCTCCAACACCGAGGCTGTGAAGGAGTGACCGCGGGTTTGGAACTGCGGGCGTCTTGAACATGTCCGACCTGCTGGGGGACCCAAAGTGGGCTTTGTCACCGTGCAACAGCGCCTCCTAGAGATTGCCACAACACTTGGGTTTCAGAGTTAAACTACAAATTACTCCCCTTTCGGCATAAATATTAAATTTACTCTTCCTTTGGCAATGTATTACTAAGTTACTCCCCTTTCAGCATAAATAAAAGGTTTACCCTCCATAAGATAATAAATTACTAAATTCATCTCCTTTTGGCATTGCATTCAAAATGATTCTTTTGGCATCAATCACAGGATTACTTTCCTTTCATTTTAGCTTAGGAATTTGCAGAAAAGCAGAAGTGGGATACTGGTTGTTAAAAAATGCTTGCATGAATCATGTTTCGTGCGCACTCAAAACGTTTTGTTTGTCGCTTTCTAAGGTTCTCTTTCACCTTAAACTTCGACAGGTTTAACTAATTAGTGCGAAGCACAATAATGTGACTACCTTTGAGGCCCTAGCTATGGTGCCACATTACTATTTTTGGCCTCAAAGCCAACGATGCTCCATACGAAAAGCTGCCCTTGGCAGCTTTTCGATGGGGCACCGTTGGTTTCAAGGCCCAAAAATGAAGAATGAATAATTGACTGATTGATTGCCTATAGTTACTGACAAGACGAGAACAGCGGGAAGGAGCATCAGTTGTCCCGTTTCCAGTGCGAGTTTCCAACCTTCGACAATACTTCAGCATCTCATGCACCTTGAGTTCACGCACACACCCAAAGCACAGTGGAAGGCATGGAGTGCATGCCGGAAGGCCAGGCATTCAGGACACGCCGTGCTGTTTTCGCTTCATCAGCGACTAGAGACCACGCAACTTGCAGCACACCCTCTTTTTTTACAGCAATGCTGTCGCCGCCGTCTCCGAAGCATTTCAAAGTTGAACCAACGTGGTCTTACTTGGACGGAGGTGATGGAGTCCACTCCAGGGCACTTGCACATGGCGAAAAGAGTTCGGCGGGCCTCGACGATCTGGGAGTCGCTCCGCTCACGCAAGTGGAACTCGACTGTTGCGAAGACGGAGAGTTTAGAGCGGTGCCCACATCACTGCCGCTGCATGCGGACACTTGGGAGGAACGCTCGTTGTAGAACCAGTTCTTGTCGATGGGTCCCAAGTCTGAAACAAGCAAAAAGAGAAAAATGAAGAGGAAGAACGACAGTTAACTGCCATAACATTTATCACTGCTTTCACGACATAGAGAGATATTTCATCGCGAATCCAGCCAATTTGTCGAGAGCCCATTGGTCGACGGACAATTCGAAGGACGATTCGTCGAATAGGGCAATTCACCCTAGGCCAATTCGCAAAACGGAAAATTGGGCGGAAGTGCCAGTTCGTCAAACTAGGCTGAACAGTCGAAAAGAGTTGCACAGGATGTCTGGAGTTACCCGGGGACGTTGGGGGTCAACAATGGGACCCTGTTTGTCAGAAATAAAGGATTACAAATTAAGATCTCAGAATTTACAAGGGTCCAGTAGTGAATCGTGAAAATTCAGGTCGTTCAAAATTATAAAAGCCGGACTCTGCGAGAAGACGTTCACTCGACTCTATCATCATGAAATTTGGGAAGACCAAGCGAAGGGCTAATCTTTTGATCCTGGATGGTCATATGTACACCTGTAATACGCGTACAGCCAACACCACCTTGCTGTTGGTACAGCAACCACGGCATGCTGCATTTGTCAGCAAAGAATAGTCTGCAATGCCACGTTGGTCTAACAACCTCAAAAGGCATGACTATCACAAGACAATAAAACCTGTTTTTGCAATTATTCTTTCTACAACTTCGTAAAGACAAAATTAGTATGGAACTAGAAAAAGCTCACATGCAATTATTCTTTTTGACCTACATAATTTCTTAGCGACATCATTTAGTCGCGAATTTACAAAAAGGCTACACCGAGAAAACAGTTTATGTTTGTAAATCGTCACTCTTTTTCTCAATGCCGATAATCATATTTGCACTTGCAGGTCGGCGAATCGTGGTGAGATTTTTGTTCTAGGCACAAAAGCACATCACTCCAACTTTATTGTAGTTCTTTGGTCAAACGGGAAGTTTCCCGTTCGACAAATTGAACTAGTGCGAATTGCCCCATTCAACGAATTGTCCGTCGACGAATGGGCTTTCGACGAATGGTCCTACACTTATTTCATCGGTACTTGTTTCATAAGATATATCGACAATTTGATTCTTAATGAAAGCCTACTAACACCTTTTTACTTTCCAGCATGCATCGATCGTTGCCGCACAGTCGGCGTCTTTTCCTCTCACACAAATCATTTTTGTGAGTTTCTCATTCCCAACTGTGGTCCGAGACATCACCGGAATTCCTGATGACAAACATTCTCAAACTGACGTTAGTGACCTTTTTTCTTAAAAAGAACACTGAAAAGAAAAAAAACTTTTATAAGGCTGGTTGGAACACGCGTGTCAAAAAATAAACTTCACGCGAAAAAGAAAAAAAATTGTTTAGAGCAATATTGACGGTAAGAGATTTTATTTGAAATTCTGCGAGCGAAGTCCATGACGTCACGGGTCATTTCCACACGCCCGAAATGCCGAGAAACAAGTGGAAAGGAGATGGCTGCCAATTAAATTGTGTCTCGCGCCGTCAATTTTGCTCTAAAAAAACTCTTTCCCGTCAAATTTATTTCTTGACATGCGTGTCCCAACCAGACTGCTTAAAAAAACTTTTGTTTGTTCTTTTCAGGGGTCTTTTAAAGAGCCGTAAATACCCTATGATATTTAATTCCTGCTATATGTTTTGCTGAGTTTACTTATTACTGCATTTTACTCATGTAACCCGCTTCTCTCTGTAATGCCTCTGGTCCTGAGGGTAATGAAATAAATAACTAAATATAAACGTTTTGTAGAGAATAGAATAGCATGGGTCATCCGCTTGGACCGAAAATAGAGTGAGATCAGGGGCGGACGCAAGTATTTCTTGAAGGGGGGGGGGGGGGGGGGTCAGGTGTATGTCAGCGTATCATATGTTTAAACCCCCCCCTTTCCCGTTTCCACTACCTAAATTTTTACACATGCAGAATTCAAGAGGGGCGTCAGGACATCCGGACCCCCCCCCCCCCCCCCCCCCCCCTCTGAATCCGCCCCTGAGTGAGATATACACCATTCCAATATTTGCATTCTTTGTGGTACATCTACTGGGCTAGGGACATGTTCTCAATATGTGCTGTTACTCTTTTTTGTTTGTGGAAACAAGCCACCCGACATGCGTCCTCAACCTAGTGACTCAGCCATTTTTCGCCTGGATGGTAAGCGCAGGAAAAGTGTATTGCCTGGCGATAATAATCCCTGGAGAATGGGAACAAGGAGGACAAAGGACAAACACAAATCTCCAAACACAGCTAGGTGACTTGTACGCGACAAAAAAAATCTGCCTGGTCCTAGTATCGAACCAGGGACCTCTCCAATTCTAATGGAGCACTCTACCAACTGAGATAACCAGGAGTTAGACGTCAGTGGAGCAAACAGGTTTTATCAGCTGTTACCAGTCTAACACCAACAATGGTGAACGGCCTGCATTTTAAGGTTATGATTATAATGCAATTATGCAAAGGTGCAAGCGAGCTGGACAAGAAGGATGATAACAAGCCCTGGAAAAGAGAAACAAGGAGGACAAAGGAGAAACAGAAATTTCCAAACACAGCTGGTGACTGGTACGTGACCGAAATAATCCGCCTGGTCCTGGTATCGAACCAGGGACCTCTCCATTTCCAGTGGAGCGCTCTACCAAATGAGCGAACCAGGAGTTAGACATCAGTAAAGCTGGATGTCGGTAGAGCTCTACTGACATCTTACTCCTGGTTAGCTCAGTTAATAGAGCGCTCCGCTGGAAATGGAGAGGTCCCCGGTTTGATACCAGGACCAGGCGGATAATTTCGGTCACGTACTAGTTACCTAGCTGTGTTTGTCCTCGGTGTTCCCCTTCTTAAGGGATTATTATCGCTAGTCTTGTCCAGCTCACTTGCACCTTTGCATTAATTGCACTATCATAGTGTATAGCCTGTTGCAGGTTTAGAATATCAGGAGAAGAACCCACCCAGAAAGCCCTCTGCTTGCCAAGATTGGGCGTTTCCTTCTCTCTACCCGCTTTTTCTCCAACATTCACTCTGATAAAGCGGAAAGATTGATGGGCTTTGTGCGTTAAACTTTATGGCCCAAAAAGTCACTGTTTTTAAAGTGAAGAATAAAAGGAAAACTTTATTACGGTTAGACAAGATTGAAACAATGACAAAGTATACATTGAAAGGGAAAGATTTACAATACGAATGTCTCCCGTCGGTGCCTGGAAGCTCAGTGTCCTCTTTCACCGACCCGGGCGCCACCGAGGGCGCAGGGAAGTCGAGGCCCCGCGGCAGCAGACACTTAGCAAAGCCAACGATCGTCCTACTGAACACCCCTCCTTGCCAGTGCGTGTATTTTAGGTATAAACACCCTAGCTGGTCCCCCCGTCGGAGTGGTCTGGATTGCCGTCCCCTCCGTGCCCACGGGGTTGGAACACATTCACTAAGAAAAATTATACGCACTGCTCTATGTGATTTTAATATTTGTGAGGGTTGCTTGTCCAGCTGTTCTTAATCTGCAACAGGCTGCTTGCATACCACCACTCACAAAAGTATTACGGCATTGATTCGGGTAGCCACTAAGCTGGATTGGCCAATTAAAGTGCACAAGGAACAACACCAAGCGGAGTGCAAGTTCGTCTGCTTCTTCTGCAGGGGTTGTGGTTACGTCAGAATGATGAGCTTTGATAGATTCTGATTGAAGGACAGTGGATAGACCTCAGAGCAAGCTGCTTTGAGGTCTACCCATTGCACTTCAATCGGAGCCAATCAAGACTCGTCATTCTAATGTCACCGCAACCTCTGCAAAAGAAGCAGACATACTCGAGCTCGGCACAGTCCTAAATTAAATGCGACTATCTTTCGCGGCTTTGACACATGATTTTCTTTTAGCAGTTTGTAAACATGTTTTAGGTATGCTGACAGCCTGCGGCGGAGATTGAACCCAGGGACCCTGAGTTCGGTTCCCCGCCCCTGCCCGTCTCAATCTGGATGAGTATCGTACTGGCGTGCGGTCGTGTATCACTACTCTGTGATGCATAAGATCCCAGGGCTGAAAAGTTGCGCACGTTGTGACAGCCGTTTTACGAACATAATATGTATGTTATAAAAGTAAAATCTGGGGGTTTTACGTGCCCAAACGAATGAAAGCCATCTGGTACGCCTCAGAGAAAGACTGAGGATTCATTTCGAATTCTTGGGGATCGTTTGACGTTCCACCGAAGTCTCGTTTACACAACGCATTCCCCGCAATAAGAAGCCTCCGTCAGACTGCGGGCACCTGGCCGAGATTCGAACTGTAGGTTATAAAAGAAGACCAAAATAAAAATAAAAAATGCACACACAGCGATAGACTTACCCTTGTTCGCTTGTGACACAAAAGCTTCGAAGAGGGACCGATGGTTGTCGTCGTCGACAAACATTCGAAATCGAGCTTCATCGCGAAGTTCGTCTTGATCATTCATGCTGGCGAATCTGGCAAAACTGCAACAGGCTGCGGGCCACCGATGCCGCTGCGGTCTCACAGACCCATTGCGTATCTCCGACGAACTTCTAGCCTACCCATGATCGGCACGTAATAACGGGACGAAAGGTTTGTGCGTGAAAAGAAAACGAACGAAAACTGACAGGTCAACGAACGCCGAAAAGCACCGACCACTGCACCCAACTGCACCGAAGCAACCGAAGTGACCGAAGCACCAGCGAAAAAAAAAAAAGAACACTCAAGAACGCGCGCTTGGCGCGCTTCTGTGCAAACCGAAAAAGTATCGCAGTCGAAGGCATCGAATAATATTGTGTCATTATATTTTTTCAATAATTGGAACTGAGAAAATGTTATATCGTTTCTAGATTATTTAGATGGTATTTTATGGCAGTAATGATGATCATACAAAACGATTTATTTTCTGTTTTTGAGCAAACCGAAAATGAAAAAAAAAAAAAAAAAACTGGTTGTGCGCCAAAGAGGATGTTGTGTGCGGGCGCGCGACGTTCAGTTTGTGATAAAAAGGTGTTAATTTGGTCTCTCTGTGCCCAAGCGTTCTTTGCACTGTCCTTAGTTAATTTTGAAGTAAGTTTAAAGGTTGTCCAAAATAACAGAGCCGCCTGTTGTGCAAGACTGGCTAACCTGGACTAACGCCTCTGATTCGAACGTTTCGAAGCTTCAATTAGCGAAGGTTAAAAAGTCATAGAATTGTGATGTGTGTATGTTTATACAGCCTAGAACTTAGTCTGCACCAACGGGCGACTTGTCTCCCAGCTGTAGATGAGAAATTTTGCCAGTACAATACAACCACTATACTTCGTTTCAGCTTCGGTCCAGACGCAGCCAAAGCTACAAGCGCGAGCTCCGGTCTTTCAGCATCCCTGCCAAGCACGCGCGCTCGTGCAGTGCAAGCACTGTTCTGGGCCACATGCTCGCGCTTGTAGCATCGGCTGCGTCTGGACCGAAGCTGAAACGAAGTATAGCCTGGGGTCTTTACCGTTCACCACGCAGTGATACACGACCGCGCGCCGGTACGATATGCCCATCCAGAGCGGAACGGGCAGGGGTGGGAATCAGTGGCATAGGCAAAAAAATCGAACCCCCCCCCCCCCCCCCCCCTCCCCCGGCTCGCTACCCGTCTTGCAAGGGGCACGGAGCAAAAGGGGAGCGCGGACTATCTCCAACTTATATGCTTTCGGGAGGAATGTTTGTGCCCTTGCGTTTGCCCACTGATACAAAACGACTGTTGGGGCACTTTTCCTAAGGTTCCCAACATGGAGTTTGTGTGTAAGCGATAAACGTAGGCCGACGATTGCTTATTCGTCCCGTCACTGTTTTATACTTTTGAGTTCTTCGTATCTAAAGTAAAGCCCACCATACCCTCAGAAAAAGTTAACTGTCGCAATCTGTTTTTTTTTTTTGTTTTGTTTGTTTGCAGTTCAGGGTGAGGGAATTTTAGCTTGATCATCACGGGAGACGCGTTCTGTAAAAAGCTCTTTGGTGCTGTCAAAATAAATGTACCGATCAAAAAATAAGATACCGGAGAAAAGGGAAAAGAGCGGCATGTCTAACTTCCGAGCGTCTCAGGATGGAAAGCGAAGATGAAAACTGAGATAATATAGTAAGGGTGCAGGCGAGCTGGTGAATGTTGACCATGCTGAATAACCTGAGACTGGGGCAGAAGTGAACAAATAAGTGGAAGGAACAGAAAAGGACAGGACGACGTCTCAAACTTAGTTACCTAATTTATTTAGTCCGCCTCCTTCCCACAATCAGCCACCACCAACACAAAGGGGCAACCTCTAAACAGTTCACAAAGATTCAGAAAGATAACTCTACAATCTCCCCCAAAATTTAACAAAAGAATCAATATACCTATTCCATTCTAAAACAAAAAGCAATTTTTTCATCACACACAAAAAGAAAAGAAAAAGAAAAAAAAAAAACTTTACGCCAGTGATCAAGGGATGACACACACTGGACCTAAAACGGGGCAAAGGTACACTGTACACACATAAAAAAAGTCATATTTTTAAAAAGCTTTTGGAATTTTTACAGAACTGTAACGAAGCCTGACTTATGCAATTACCTAGAGATTTTATCCGCCGAGTCTCCCTTACTAGTCTTTTTGCATCATTCCTCTCCTTGTGAATGATTCCTGTCTCCGACCAAATCGCAGTGCAGTCGTTACATCCGTGGACATGTTTTGCGATTTCTGAGTTCGTTGCAATGTTCTTCACGTTTCTTTTGTGTTCACTTAATCTGTCGTTGATGCATCGTGATGTCTGTCCTACATACTTAAACCCACATTCCAGTGGTATCTCATGCATAACACAGTACTCGCTATTCACCGATTTTTCCGATGGTTCTTTTTGCAGTTATTCGCACCTGTTTGAGATGGCGTCAATCTACTGAGTTTAAGATCCGAGCTAAAGACCTTGTCTATTCCAAACTTTTTCGCGCATGCCTTCAAGTTGTACGAAATTTCATGAAAATATGGGATCACAACAAGGTGGAAGGAAAGGGATTTGTTGCGATCCCACATGAAAGGAACAAGGTGAAAGGAATAGATTTGTTGAGCTTCTGCCGCCGAGAGGTGCCCCAGTGCAAGGAGCTCGCGCTTGTAGCCTTTCCTGCGGTACATCATAAGGCGAAATAGAATATAAGTTTTTGCGCTAATCCCGTAGAGAGGGCTAAAATATGGTCAGATGTGATATTGATTTAACTAAAAGACGTCCCAATATTTGTGAAATCAATTATGAACACAATGCAAAACTTCACCCCAAATATCGCAAGTAGGCATGGCTGGTCGTGTTGTAACGTCACATCAGGCATGGTTACGTCACAGTCGCGGGCGCTGACTTATTCCAGGATTTGATCAACATGGTAAATGGTGCGTACAGAGATCATCGTTGAAGAATTGAGAGCGTCCCTCAATACCGTAAATCTTGTCTTTCTCAGAACGAAGTTGTTTTACTGAGACAGCAGTCAAGAGCTGTCGTTGCTCTCTTTGCATGATGTTGCGTGGGAGCTTCCGCGGTTGCCAACGAAAACGTTCTGTGTTTTGCGGATGCAATCTGAGCAGTTGGTCTCTGTTTAAAATTGAAACTACTTGCGCAGCGGAGGATTAAAGATTCGGATATTGTGCAGATGATATTTCCAAAAGCAAGGACAGTATAATGTAATTGTTTTCTGAAAGACAAATTTTTACCGGACCATCAAGCAGAGTGCAGCTTGCCACCGCACACGGAGCATGCTGCGCGATTCTGACACCTCCCCTTCTAGCCACTGTAGTACGCTGTCTGGAAGGCGTCTCCGTACGGTGCTTACCGCATCTTCAAAAGTGGTCCCTCGATTTCCGTTTGATGACATCATACGAGTGTGATCCTATTGACTGCCACGATCCTGGCGGCAGCACAGCACAGATGAATGCGACAGGCTCCTGTTTTGCTGCAGGTCGCCCTGCAGTCGACAGCTGACGGAAACCAAAGCAGACCCGAGGTGGGACACTGCGACGACAGCGACCTTTGCGTCCGCTCGTCTGGACTTCGTTCCAGGCATCGTACCGTAGCCGAAATATGATGAAGCCCAGCTACGCCCTTCACTAATAATCTAATAATAATAATGATATTAATAATAAATAATAATAAAACGTTTGCAAAGATTAGGTGGAATCACGAATCGCGTTTTTATTAATTGAACGGTTCTATACGATGGTAGTGATATTTGGGCGGGCGATGGGGACGGGCAAGTCTTAGAACTCTCTCGCTGCCGGAATGTGATCACAGGCGTTTCTTTTACGCGGAGTGCGATTGAATATCCGTATATTTTGAGCAGATGTCCCTATAGTGCACACTTTGGAGACCGTGTCAGTGTTGACCCGACATGCCCCGAGGGTCTGCCCCTTCTTCCAAAGGTGGCACGACGACCGCGACGTAGGCCGAGATGGGCAGCGGGACATCCTTGAGAGTGAGCCAGTCGAATTTGTCTGCGGGCACGGCAGTCTTAATGACCGAGGTCACTGGATGGTCCGGCGTCTCGGCGTCTTGCCCGCCGATGATGAACGCCTGGTTTTCTGCACGCCGAAAGTGCGCATCGCAGGCGGTGTTGCTGAGTACGGGTGGTATGTCTTACTAAATTACATGTGCGAAATACGGGAGAGCTCCGGGGAAAGTTTGATAGTAGCCGATCGTAAAATTAAACGATCGCTCCCTGAATACCGCATACTTTTCGGGAGTTTTCATTGGAAGCTATATCCGTGGGTGCTGTTTAGAGCGCATGCTCAGAACGAGCTCACATCATTAGGTTGCTAAGATCGGCGATCTTGAAGATGTGGAATGGACGTTGCAAAAGAACTGTGGAAGCTCGCCATCAGCACGCGCTCAGCAGTCGTGCACACAGCTATGGCCGCCAGTGAATTCTTCCTATGCGGATAGCAAGTCGTCTGCTTCTTACGCAGGAGTTACGGTGACTTCAGAACGACACCGAGCTGTGATTGGCTTTGATTGGAAGGATAGTCGGTAGACCTCAATACTAGATGCCTTGAGATCTACCCACTATTTTTTTTTTTTTTTTCAATCATGCAATCAGAGCTCGGCGCTCTGACATCATCGCAATTATTGTACAAGAAGCAGACGAACTTGCGCTCCGAGCTGTGGAGATGAGGGTCGCTGGAAATACATGGCTTGCACGTGACGTCCATGTACTATGCTGGTGGGCACTTGTTCTTGTCGACAAACGAATTCGGTGGTATGAAATGTACGCTGCAGAGTGCACGCGCATTCTGCAGAGGCCACTACAAAGGCCGTCGAAGCGACGTCAGTGCCAGTCACGTATTGTTGTGTGTGTCCAACCGAACCGCAGGGCATGGTTCTTTATGTTCCCCACAATCTTGCATTGTGTTTGGTTCTTGGGGGGTCTTATCGGCTGATGGCGTAATTTGATTGTCTGCAAAGTGATAATGAGATGCTCGGGCTGTAAGAGACCATTAGGGACCTGCGACCAAAAGCGTCGCTGTGGTCGCAATTCGCGACTGGCCAAACGCTGGACTGTGACGTCTTTATCCGTATCAAATTTACAGCGTTAGCCTGTAAGTGACTCGACAAAAAAAAATGCTCATGCACGAAATTAAAACACCACTCTACAGCTCTCCTTCATCCCGTCGTTCCTCACATACTGCAAGGCTCTCTCTCGCTCCTCGCTCCCTTCCTCCGTAGGCCGCCGCTGTTCTTGCTCCGGCGACGCTCCCCTCGGAAAGCCGCCGTTGCGAAATACCCACGTGATCGCGCTGT